TTAATTGAACAGATAAAATACATCTTGTCTATTTCTGTTACAAAATATTAGCCATTTGGAGTCTTTGCTAGATGTGAGCACACCGCTGTTCCCAAAGGAAGCTTCTCTTGTACAGCAGGAAACAGGTACAGACAGACGGACAGACAGGTGCTCTCAAATAGCCTACACACACAGGTAAGTAACATTTGTTTTCTTGCTCGGAGAACAGAAAGAAAGATTCGGTGGGATGTGCCAAGTGACAACTGAGTGGAGAGGAAAGGAACAAAAACAGAGAGATCTTTAAAGCTTCTGAACCATGGAGCAGTGAAGAGACAATGGGCTTAGCAGCCACTAGAGTGTAACAGACATCACTCAAAAACTACTACCAACAGTTCTAGGCTCTAGTCTGGCCTCGTTGGTGGGTTCACAGGAGATGGAATATACTATGTAGGCATGGCAGAGCAACATGTTGAAAATCCTCTCCTACCCCACAAACTGCTACTTTTATTTTTATTTTAAAGGCAGAATCTTCCTGGCAGGCATCAAATCCAGAGATCCAAGGGACTCTGATTGTTTCAGATATCCCCTAAATTCCCAAGAAGTGCTGCTTCAAAGCCAACCGTATTATGTGATGGTTATAAGAAGGTTAGGCTACAAAAGAACACACCGGTCCCTATAATAACATTGCTGTGGAGTGGAAGCTGTTAGTGCCATTAGTGACTAATACTGCTTTCTTTGAGGAGAAAAAACTATGATGTTTCTGTTCCAGTTTGAAGCCTAAACGCACACACATATATCTTTAGGAGCTGAAAAGAGGTGGTGGTGGGGGAAACAAGGTGAAAATGCATTTTTAAAATATGTCCTACAAGATACTACAGTGTAATAGACAGAAAGTAATGGCTCAAATCACGATTTATTTTACATTTCAAATAGGGGAGGAAAAAGTAATTGAGCCTTTGCCCTACATTGATTCTCCAGACACTATCGGCAGCTTTGCTGATTAAACAATATCACATGGAGAAGCTGGGGAGGAATTGCCTATCCAAGACGCTGGAGGTCCTTCTACGTTTGTGACTAATACTGAGCCAGATGGATCACTCACTCACATATCCACTGCAATAATCCTAGAAGCCTATCTACACTGCAGACTTTACCTATCAAGGCCCTTCCCAGAGACCCAGAAATGGTGCCCCTTACACACACACACACACACACACACACACACACACACTTTATAGACTAACAGTGCCCAGGAAGAGGAATTTAATGTTAAATCAGGTTAACTGTAGTGTAGAACTGACATCCTTTACGTTAAAAGTTATGCAAAAGGCGCTTGTTATTGCAACTCTTCTCCAGCTCTCATTACTTAATAGGCATTCCTTATTTCAGGTGTTGTAGCTCTTCAATGGGGATGGGGAACTTGCAACTCTCCAGTTCTGGCTGGACTCCAACTCCCATGAGCCCCAATGGTGAAGGACGAAGGGAGTTGTAATCTAATAACATCTGGAGGCCTGGAAGTTTTCCATCCCTGCTCTATAGAAGCCTTTGCTAACTTTGTATGTTTTGGACTACAACTCCCATCAGCTCCAGCAAGCATAACTGTACTGACCGATGTAGTAGTACAAAACATCTGAAGTATATTAGGTTGGTTGGTGAAGGCTGTAGAACATCCTTCTTTGGGGTTTTGCTGGCTGGCTGTTGGGAGTTGTAGTCCAGAAAATCTGGAGGGCACCGGGTTCTTGAAGGCTGTTCTAGAGTGTCCTTCATTTTGGAAATGCTTATCAATCTACTGTAGCTGATTCCTAAATTAAGGCTACTTAACTGGGATGGAAGTGTTCAAGAGTGACTTGTACACAAAGATCATAATCCAGAAATATATGAACTTACATCCTGCTGAAATTAGTGTGTGTATAACCTTGTGCTGCGTTATGGCCTAAGAATATGATGAGATGATCTGACAGGTCTTTAATTTATAGAATGCATGACCATCTTCTAGCCTTAGTGGGTGATAATGATTATTCCATGCTTACCTCCGTAGTGTTGCATGGATGCAAACCATCCCAGCTTGACTATTTCTCTAGACAACTGCTGTTTGCTTCTCTTTTTAAAATACAGGATAAACCAAAGGCAGCGGCAGCTGTCAGCAATGTGGCATGGCTTGCAGACTTTCTTCAAGCAAAGCTCCCTGCTTAAACTTGTGACCACAAAAGATCCCTGCTGTTCTCACCACTGGAAAAAATGCCATCGCCTAAGTCTGTGAATTGCTTTGGGCAACATCGTCACACATAGCAAGTGGCACATCAGGTTCAGAAATCCACCACTCATTTAATATGTTTTAAACTCCCATCTCCCTAACTGCACACAACACTAGAGATTAGACGGACTGCAGTTGTGTATCTGGGAGGGCATTGGTGTGAACATTTTCTAATAGCTAACCAACCAGGCAATTGTGGCCTTTTAAACACAGACTTTAATTAACATGGACTTCCAATTAAATACTTGTGTGTCGTCCTCAAGAAACTCCCAGTGTAAGTATGGGACTACTGGACCTCCATTTTGAAGGTGATGGGATATGCCTGATTCTCTTTTTCAGTACTGTATCTCATGACTTTCCTAAACCACACACTTCCATATGACACAGCCCTGAAGCATGAAGGTGTGGCCACAGTAATCTAGAAACTCAGGCAAAGGCAGTCTTTTCGAGCCTGAACCCCTCCAGATATTGCTGGACTCCCACTCCCATCAACATGTCCAATTGCCAGGGATCATGGGAGTTTTGATACACAAAATCTGGAGGGTACCAGGTTATGGAAGGCTGACCTGGGGTGTACACTGAGCGTAACTGGAAACAATGTGTCTTTGGTTTCACCCGGGGTAAATTAAGATGGGCTAGCTTCGAGAATTGCTCAGCCAAACCCCAAAACACATACTTGCCTATATTATGGCTGCCATTTTCTCTAATGGCCATGACTAATATCTGCCTAGGCTAGCCTCCCCCAACCTGGTGCCCCCCCCCCCCATTTTGGATTGTAATTTTGGATTACCACTTCCATTGGCTGCGGGCATCATGGCCAATGATCAGGAATTATGGGAGCTATAGTCAAATATCTAGAGGACATGAGGTTGGGGAAGGCTAAGTTAGGTTGACCCAGATATGCTCAAGATTTAAAAATGGCCTGTAAAATATGCATATACAACTAAACACAGTTGGTTATAACAGAAAGTATCTGGCAACCATTTAGAATAAGTAGAGATAGGCATTCCACATGGTTACTCATTATGGTTCTTTGGTTCACAAGCACTAATATTCTGCCTTCAGTGCTCCAAATTGGAGTGATTTAGTATCCAAGCATTTCACATAGAAAATAACTCCAAACAACTGCACAGAAATCAAGGCCCAACCCTTGTAAACAGAGGCAACATTTTCTGGTTCAATAACTTGAGCTACACATGGTGTTGAGCACATAGTAGGCTTATACACTCATTCTTCATGGGTTTAACTTGACTCAGGACCCCAAGCCCTAGAACATACTTGAAATTTGTGAAATAATAATACTAGCAATTAGGGACCGAGAATAATTTCAGGAAGGAGGGGAGATTGGATAATAGCATCCTCCCTGCTCAGAAATCCCCTAGCCGTTATGAACTACAATCTCCCGTTTGAATTTTGCTTTGGCTGGTCATCTCTGGTTCCAGCCTGTACTTTCCCCCACACTTATCAAACTTGGGGGTGGGAGAGAAACGGGGGTGGGGAGACATCAGCCAAGACTAAAACCAAAGTCTGTTTCCAACATGCCCTTAGTACAGGGTTACCAGACGTCCCAGGTTCCCGGGGACAGTCCCCAGATTTGCAAATTTGTCCCTGGGAAACATGGCAGTGGCAGCCTCAGCAGCCTGGAGCCAGCCTGGTAGTGCAGTTGGCTCTGGCTGGCTTCAGGAGCTGCTCGCTGCTGCTGCCGCTGCCACTGCTGAAGGGGAACCAATGATGTCCGGCGGTACAGATCTCCTGCCCCCTTCCCCCTTTGTTTTGACAGATCGGGGGAGGCTCAGGAGTCACAGGTGGGTGTTGCCCAGGAGGGGTGCAAGGAACATGGTTTCTCTGCCAGGCAAGGTGCAAAACCCTTCTTTTGCACCGTGTGAAACAGAAATGTGCAGTTTATTTTTAAAAACTGGGCAACAGCCGCCCGCCCGTGACTCCTGAGCCTGCCCCAATCAGTCAAAACAAAGGAGGAAAGGGGCAGGAGATTGGGGGAGGCTCAGGAGTCATGGGCTTGTGGAATGCTCTTGCCCAGTTTTTAAAAAACTGCACATTTACGTTTCACAGTGTGCAAAAGAAGGTTTTTGCACCTTTATACAATATGCATGTGTGCTTGGGCCCAGGGTCTTTTGCCTCACCATCCCCACTACTGACTCCCTGTTGCTACTCAGCTTAAAAAAAAAAAAAAAGGGTCCCCGGATTCATTGAAAAAAATCTGGTAACCATGCCTTTGTACTTAATTGCAGTTAGCCAGAAACTTTCTTTTTATAAATAATATTGGCTGCTCTTCTCCTTCCTCCTCCCTGCTCCCAGCAAGTTGTATGTTTAGGGAACTGTGTGGGTGTGTGGAATAAGAATAAAATGCCAGAGAGGGCTGCTGGTGAATGGATTTGTTTCTGACCTTTAGAGAATTCATACTCTGGACCCTGCCCCCCAAGGGCCACTGGGAGGCTGCACACGCACACCTTACCTCCCAGGAAGAACGACATGGCAAACGAGAGACCAAACTGGTCCCATCCATCATCCCTGGAAGGAGCAGCTGCTCCCAATGCTTACTTCCCCCTCCCCTCCCCATGTGTTTTGCCTTTTCCATCTTGTATGGGGGACTGCCATCTTTTAATAAATGGACAGTGCTTAGGAAATCTTAGATACCTTAAACCTGTTAAATCACCACCACCCCCAAAGGCTCAGGAATACCCACTATTTGCTCACAGGGCCAATCAAGCAATCAAAGCGCAGCAAGCTGGGATTGAGGAGAATGAGGCAGGATAGCTCAGTCGATAGAGCACAAGACTCTTAATCTCAGGGTTGTGGGTTCAAGTCCCACATTGGGTGAAAGATTCCTGGGTTTGACTGGATAACCACCATGGCTCCTTCCAATTCTACAATTCAATTATTCTATCTCTATCTCTATTTGGCAAAAGAAGAAAGAAAGAAAGAAAGAAAGAAAGAAAGAAAGAAAGAAAGAAAGAAAGAAAGAAAGAAAGAGTTGATTCCAGTCAGTGCAGTCAGCACTGAGCTAGGTGTGACAAGAGTCTGATTCAGTACAGTGGTGCCTCGCAAGACGAAATTAATTCGTTCCGCAAGTTTTTTCTTCTTGCGAGTTTTTCGTCTTGCGATGCACGGTTTCCCATAGGAATGCATTGAAAATCAATTAATGCGTTCCTAGGGAAACCGACTTCAGACCAGGTCCGGGGACAGTCTGTCCCCCGACCTCTTCTGAAGGCTGGGGGGAGGGGACAAGGGCTTTTCTTCCCACCCCCAGCATTTTAAAAAACCCCGGGACAGCGGAGGGCTTCTCCGCTGTCCGGGCGATCTTAAAATGCTGGCGGGCGGCATTTAAAATTGCCCCGGGACAGCGGAGGACTTCTCCGCTGTCCGGGGCAATTTAAAGCTCCTGGGAAGGCAGGCAGGGGGACAAAGACTTTGCCCCCGCCAGCCTTCAGAAGAGGTCCTGGACCTCTTCTGAAGGTTGGCGGGGGCGAAAGTCTTTGTCCCCCCACCTGCCTTCAAAAGCTGTCCAGCCAAGGCTCGCGGACCTCTCCGCAAGCAGCGGCAGCACTGCCGCTGCTCGCGGAGAGTTGCCGGCATGCCGAGCCTGCGCGCGCTGAGATCAGCGCGCCCAGGCTTCGCGGACCTCTCCGCGAGCAGCGGCAGCGCTGCCGCTGCTCGCGGAGAGTTGCCGGCATGCCGAGGCCTGCGCGCGCTGAGATCAGCGCGCCCAGGCTTCGCGGACCTCTCCGCGAGCAGCGGCAGCGCTGCCGCTGCTCGCGGAGAGCTGCCGGCATGCCGAAGCCTGCGCGCGCTGAGATCAGCGCGCCCAGGCTTCGCGGACATCTCCGCGAGCAGCGGCAGCGCTGCCGCTGCTCGCGGAGAGTTGCCGGCATGCCGAAGCCTGCGCGCGCTGAGATCAGCGCGCCCAGGCTTCGCGGACCTCTCCGCGAGCAGCGGCAGCGCTGCCGCTGCTCGCGGAGAGTTGCCGGCATGCCGAAGCCTGCGCGCGCTGAGATCAGCGCGCCCAGGCTCCGCGGACCTCTCCGCGAGCAGCGGCAGCGCTGCCGCTGCTCGCGGAGAGTTGCCGGCATGCCGAAGCCTGCGCGCGCTGAGATCAGCGCGCCCAGGCTTCGCGGACCTCTCCGCGAGCAGCGGCAGCGCTGCCGCTGCTCGCGGAGAGTTGCCGGCATGCCGAGGCCTGCGCGCGCTGAGATCAGCGCGCCCAGGCTTCGCGGACCTCTCCGCGAGCAGCGGCAGCGCTGCCGCTGCTCGCGGAGAGTTGCCGGCATGCCGGAGCCTGCGCGCGCTGAGATCAGCGCGCCCAGGCTTCGCGGACCTCTCCGCGAGCAGCGGCCGCGCTGCCGCTGCTCGCGGAGGGGTGCCGGCATGCCGAAGCCTGCGCGCGCTGAGATCAGCGCGCCCAGGCTTTCCGGACCGGAGATTTCCCTATGGGCTTTCGTCTTGCGAAGCAAGCCCATAGGGAAATTCGTTTTGCGAAGCGCCTCCAAAACGGAAAACCCTTTCGTCTAGCGGGTTTTTCGTCTTGCGAGGCGTTCGTCTTGCGGGGCACCACTGTATAAGGTAGTTTCTTATGTTCCTATGATCTGATACTTTAATACAGTCATTCTCAATCTCCAGGACTTTTCAAGTTAGAAATTAAACAGAATAGAGGAAGGGGAGAGATTGACATCTGAGGCAGTACGTCCTATGAAGCATATCTTCACATCATCCCAAATCTATTATTAATTACCTCTCTCTTCTCGGAACTTCATAGACTGCCATAAATATTTCATCCAAAAAACAATTATTTCATCAAATACTTCAAGGTTTCTGTAGTCAATTTGTGTTAAATGTCAAGTGAAATTTAATTTATTTATCTAAACACACCGATCCACCCATGCTTTAACTAAGGAACTGTGCAGAAACGTACATGCCTTCCAAGGCTGCAACAGATGCCAAAAGAGAAACTGACAGTGATTCCTAGATGCTCTGAACAGAGAGCCAGGTTAAAGGTTTGGGCCCAAACATTTCAATCATTGCCCCTCTTGGCAAAAAGCTTTCCATTAAGGGGGAAGAGGTTGAATTGCACATTACACTGTATATTGCCTCCATTTATCTTCCCTCTCCCCTTAAAGGTTACTAGTACTGTGGGAGGGGAGCTTCTTAGGTGTGTATTAGCTCAGCTTTAATTAATTTTGCAACTTCATGTCTCCTGTCTCAGAGGCCACACCTGGGCTACACAAATTTTCCGTGCTGTAGTAACAGGACACGGGTGACAACAGGGCCAAAGCGGGCATACTAAACAGGGACAGCTCTCCCATTAGGCAACCTGAGAGTGGCAGTCTGATTTTGGGTTCCATAAAAATAGGAATGGATCCCTCTGTCAGTTGATTCTTGCAGTTTCTCATTTTCCCAATCCTAAAATCAATTCTCTGCATTTCTGGAGGAATTTGTAATGTATGCATTCTTTATGCATACAGTATATGCAATTTTGTACCCATGACTTGGCTGGAGAACCGCATTACAAAATTCAGATATGTGTGAAGTTTGAAGGATGGCTGTGTTCCTGTTCCTGGATTGCTTCAGAAAGTTTGAATTTGGTAGGCTTGCCTTTAGATGCAAGCTGAATCGAATTTCTCCCACACCTCTAGCAGAAAATCTTTAGTTACTTAATTTATTACTGCTGAATTCTCATTGCCAGAGAAGGAGAGGGGTGCTGGTGGGATTTTCTGCCTCAGATACCAAAATAACTTGACTTGACTTTGGCATTAGGCACCTCAGGCAGCAACTGATCTTGGGCTGGTCTGACTTGAAAACGAAAACTTAACAAAGCACAACCAAGAAAGATGCCTTGGTTCAGAGAAAGTGGGCAGGAAGGAAAATCCTTCTCTCCCTCTCATAATACTACAACCTTGGCTCATCCAATGAAGCTGAAAGGTGCGAGATTCAGGACAGACTAAAGGAAAAACTCCTTCACACAGTACATAACTGAACAATGGAACTGCTACCACAAGAAGTTGTGATGTCCACCAACTTGGACAGCTTTAGAGGATTAGACAAATCCACAGAGGATAAGGCTGCTAATCATGGTGACTATACACTAGCTCCGGTATCAGAGGCAGTAGGCCTCTAAACACCAGTTGCTTGAGAACATGACCAAAAGAGTGCTGTGGTAGCCATGTTCTGGAAGTTTCCATGGGCATTTGTTTGGCCACTGAGGAAACAGAATGCTGGTCTAGGTGGACCTTTGGTCTGAGCCAGCAGAGATCTTGCGTAGGGATTTTAAAGACACACGCACACACAGAAAGAATATGAATGCAGTTGAAACTAAATTTAGCATCATTCAGCGACAGCATTTGATCTACGTCAGTGGCGGGGAACCTTTTCCATCCTGAGAGATGCATTCCCTTCTGGCCAACCTCCTAGATGCCAGTGGTAGTTGGGGCCCGAGGCAAAAGCTGATGCAGCAACCCATGTAAATCTAACTTTTCTATGATAGGCCTGTTTCTATCCGCATCTATACCATATATCTGGGCAAGCAAGAGGCATTGTTAAAAGTTCAGGGACAGATTCCAGCAAGGAATAAGGAGGCTGTGAAAAAGGGCCAAGGCTGAGGTGGGGGTGTGGCCTGGAAGAGGCCTGAAAGCCTGTGTCCATCCCACACACCATGTGCTGGATGTGTTAAAGAACCACCACTGGGCCATAAAACCGAGTATAGAAGGCATTGCCTTATTCCTCGGGCCCTCCTCATGTGACTAAGCCTCATAATGCCCAAAGCAGCAAGTGTGCTGTAAGCAACCACTTGACATAACGTCACACTGTAGCTCTAACTCGATGGTGCTACATGGGTGCCTCTCCGCTGCCACAGGGCTCCGGCCTTGCCATCAAAACTGCTGACTCTTGTGTTTCTGCCGCACATAAGAAGTGAAAACCCAAAGCTCTCTTTCTTTCTCTCTCTCACACACATACACACACAGTCTTTAAAAATAAATAAATAAGAGACTTAGAACTTGTTCTGCCCTATTTCCAAATCCTAAAGTTGATCTTCTTAAGCCTCACAGGGAAATACGAGTGAGCAAGAGCAAAGCCCTTAAGCTAATTAATACTACTTCCCCCCTCCCCATCTTTGCGTGCGGGGAGATATTTTTTCTAAAAATACAGCCATAGCCCATTTTAATACCATCTTTCTGCATGTCAGCATCTCTGGAAACAGCGAGGAGCTGAGCTCTGCTTTCATCTCCCCCCTCTGGGACTCCCCACCCACCTTGCCATATTTTGGGGCGGAGGGAGAGAGATGAGGACAGAACGAAGAAGGGACCAACCTGGTGTTAATGAGTTTGTGCTTACATGGCTGGCTACAGTGAGACAGTATCAGAGCCTGCTCTGAAAGGTGGGATACAAATAATTAGCAATAAACAAACCCTTAATTCACTACAATATGACTTGTTTACATGTTCATAAAAGCAAAACAAAAGAGGCTTTGGATAATGAGTTGCTCCTTGCCTCTCCTCCGTACCATTTCGGCAAACAGGATTTCCTTTCATCTTCTTGGAAACACTAAGGCAGGTTAAGGTCAGAAGTTCGATGCGAGCACACAGAAATGTCCAAAGCATGACTCAACATGTATGATGTGTTTCCCTGCCTGCGTGAACATCTATTGCTGATTCAGGATAATGTATGAGATAGAGGGAGGCCAAAGGAAACATGAAAGCGGAGAGGAGAACCTGGAATCTGCTCTAAAACAGGGACACTCATGGCATGGCAGGGGGATGGATGCAGCTGCTACCCTGCTTCTCCCATGCCTTCTTTGCCCTCCTTTCCTGGGGGTGTCATACGAAGCCCAACGTCACTTGAGGTTCTGTAAATTGTTTGTGCACCAAAGATAGATTCTGTGTGAAGGAAGCACAAGCGTTAGTGGAGAGCCTATAAAGGGGGGCTGTGGTGGGGATTTCTGAGGGGTGGGGATAGCCTTCCTTTTGCCAAATTAACCCTGTTCTGTTTCATGAGATACCTCGCTGACCTCCTACAGGCTGCGAAGCGGGACATAAATACAATAAATAACTAAACACACACGCAGTTTTTAAAAAATGTGCAGAAGGCTCAGCCTGTCAAGATGATCAATCTGAGAAAGTGGCCATGTCAGGAAGATTTCGAGATCTATTCTCTGCCTTCACCCAAAACCTCTCCAGAGCTGCCCAGGTCTTCCTTTAGTGAGCAGGGTCCATACGCATCAAACCATAAAGGTGTGTATTTACAAGTGGTGCATTTCTGATGGCGTCCAGCAAAGTTTTCTGAGTACGATGCAGAAGGGTTGTTTTTTCAATCTCCAAAGTGAGGCCATCTTTGTGTTCAGCTGTAGCATGAGGTGGGTGGGGAACAACAGTCTCCAAATTCCACTTTCCCTTCCTCTCTCTCTCTCTCTCTCTCTCTCTCTCTCTCTCTCTCTGGCTTTCCTCTTCAAACCAGCTTGCTGTGAGAGAACAAGACAGCCCCAAAAGGCAATGAGAAGAAAGTGTGATGAGTGGCACAAGTTTTCAGCTCCAGTTTAGCAAGCTGCAGTGGTGGTGGCGGCAGCAGCAGCCACAGCGGTTCCTCGGCCCCAACAAGGTGGACTATCAAAGTCAGTGCTCTCCCCATAAGGGAACTCAAGTCAATTTTGGTCAGAAACCTGGGAATGATCTGGGAATGGTGAGAAAACAAAGAAGCTGAAGAGGTAAGGAAAGAGAGACAGGAAATGGAATGGAAAACAAAGAGCAAAGAAAGCCAAGTAACGCCTGTCAGAAACAGTGGCAGAATAGCGCCATGTTTGTTGGAAGGGAGGTAAATGTACATGGCTGAATGGATGGAAGGCTGGTCAGGAAACATCTTCAGAAACTCTCAGGCAGTTTCCACAGGTTGGCCCCTCACAAACAGAATCAATCATTCCAGGAGATACGATAACCAACTTTAGTCCCATAACGGCGTGTTTGTTGCACAACCTGTCGTTTACTTATCCTTCATTATTATCATTTGCTTTTCTCGCATGCCTTTTCCCGACCCCCTCTCTGGTTGTTTTTTTTCAGTTTTACTAAAAAATAAATCACAAACTAGATTTTTCTTTGAAGACCGAAAAAGGGTCCCATGGTTAAGTCTGTGCTGTTTGGCTAGTGCTGGTGGAGCTGCTACACTAGACTGCGTGAGCCGCTGGAATACCGGCGCCTCTGAAGCAAGGAGCTGGGGGGACAGGTCTGGTGCGGGTGGTTGTAGGGCGGCGGCGGCGGCGGAAGCGGGGGCTGATGGATGATTTTCACCGGGGTCCCTTGGAGCCCGCTGCCTAGACCGCGCAAGGGGGTGGAGCTGCAGGAATCAGAGGACACGTAGCGTGTCAGAGTCTGGTTGAGGGCCGGCTCCATGCGAGCGAGGCACGGCTTGTCCAAGACTATAACTTTGACAATCTGCTGGCACTGTACAAGTGTCCCTGCCGAGGCAGGGTAAGAGGGCACCAATGCTGTCTCCAGCCTCTCCCGTGGCATGTTAGGATGCGTGCTGGGCTGCATTCCACTCTCGAGCCCCGGGATAGAGTTGTGCTGGTACGTTTGAAGCCTGTTGTGAATTGACACCTAGTTTAGAAACAGTCAAAGAAGCATTAAATGTTACAAGACTTCTTCCCATCTCCTGCTAATGGGCTGCCCTTTACCCGACCACCCTCCATCAATGGACCTTCCTCCCCCATAAACCACAGCCCTGAATCTCCTCCTCCCCCAATGTGGTCCTCCTTCCACCCCTTTTTCCCAACTCCCCACAAGCACAGCCCCTGAAAAGTTCCTTCTAGAAAATAAAGATCCCCATTACAGCAAAGGCAGTGATGCTGTTTCCACATACAGCACAACCTCAACTATCCAGATTGAGCAAAGGCAATCAAATTGTGGCACTTTGAGCAGGTCAGGGAGAGATTTTAACTTTACAAAATGAAGGCTGCTAATGGCCTGGCCCCAACTGCCTCTTATTCCAGGAAGAACAGCCTTATTGCTTAGGTTATTCTTTTTGTCAATTACACCCCCTTTTCCCTTTTTTCCTGTTGTTATGGTACTTAAGAGAAAGAAAGCAATTGGAGGTAAGGACTCTCTTATTTTTGCTTTGTAGTTATAAAGTTCCCTCTTTGACTGAGCTCTGTTCTGCAAGCAGAGTTCCTACGAAACCCTGAATCATCATGCAATCCATGGGCCAACGAGGCAGAAAGAGGGGAGGATAATTGAGGTTGCACATCTTTGCAAGGAGGAAAAAAAAATGAGATTTGCTGATGCTCAGAGAAAGACTTGAGCTCTTCCCAGCTCCTGTCTTTCCAAGCAGGAAGGTGCACACATGACTCACTAATCTGTTTACAAAAGGAGAAAATTAAAAAAAGGAACAGGGACGAGAGAGAAAAAAAGCAGAAATCTGACATATTTCAGCAAATTTGCAGCTCGCTCTGATCCACTCGATGGTTTGCAAGTGAAAGGAAATGGTTTTACACACGCCAAAAAGGAAAAGGAAAAAAGTACCCATCTAGCTTGTACAATGGTTAAAAAAAGAAAAGAAAAGAAATCTGATGGAATGGCAGCAGATCAGGTAGTCTCAGAGAAAATGGAGATGCTCACTTCTGCAGAGGAGGAAGAACAGGGAGAGGGGAGGAAGAAGGGCTTGAAGTGTCTTTGAAGAGAAAGCCCACAGGGTTTCCCAACATTAGATTGAAAGAAGGAACTAGGCTGGAATTGGGCTCCCTATGGAAAGGGCTATTTATGGTACAAGGGGGAGAACTCCTGGAATAAAGAGTTTCAGAAGGACACAGCTCCCCAGGAGAGGAGGAGGAAACTAGGAATGGGAAGAGAAGGGTCTCTTCCATGATGGACAGATCTGGGGCCCTGTCTGCCTGATTCTGGAATCACCTGAAGGAACATATATTTGTAAACTGTCTCCTTGGAATTTTGCATCCCTGAACTGAAAACCCTTCATGGAGAAATGTTTGCAGGCCCAACAGCTGTATATGAGGCCGTGGAGATGCCCGTCCCTCCTCCCCAGCAGCAGGAATGTCATCAGGGTAATGAAATAGGGTTTATGAAACCAGCATGAACTGGGTCTAAGGAATTGTGCCTGTAGCAGCTGGGTTTATCCCAGGCTGTGGAACAGAAAGCTGGGGCATGGGTGTAAAATGGCCTCTGCGGAAAGAGGCCTAATCCGCAAGAAAGAGGAGTTGGAGCTGGAAATGGAGGCTGATTGAGGAAATGCTTGTTTGAGAAGCATTTGCAGCTCCTGCCCCTATGGCAAGTAACACTTGCAGGGAGATGGAGCTATCTGCTTGGTGAAAGAGGCCTGGGAAAGGACAAAGCTGGGGCAAACGAAATATTCTGGATATCTCTCCCAGATGACAGCTTTCTTGGTGAGCTGAGATCCACAGGAAGACTCCTACAACAGAGTCCTTGCTCCCAAATAAGGACAGGCAAGAAAGTTCCTCCAACAACCCTCCCCAAATTTGGAAATGATTGGCCTAAGCTTTCAACCTAAGAAGAGTCCCAGTGAATATGGGAAATGTTTGGTCTATGCTTTCAATATATGAAGCCTGTGACGAGGGCCCAGTGTCTAGGGCAGAAGAAGCTATGAGGGAAAGGTCATAGCAGTGAGTTTTAGCGGGGGGTCCTGCGATGGCGGTGGCCTGCCAGCAGAGTTCACCTCAGCTGTGTCTCTGATTTCTCTTGAAAGTGTGTTGGGTGGGGATGAGGAAGGAGCAGGTTAGTCTCCAGAGTTCGGGCGCTCGCTCCATGAAGGATGTGTTAACAGTTACTGAAACGGCTTGAAAAAAAATGCTTTGAAGTTTAATCTGGATTTGAAAGTTGTATTACCCGTCCTAGCAGTAACTTTTTATTGTATCTCTGGAAATTGGTAAAATTGTCAGTCTGGCAGGGGAGGCATTGATTAAAACCTGAGAAAAGAAACAACAGAGAATGTAAGAAGAGCTGAACTGAGGGAGAATTACTTACCTCAGCTGCTGTGTGTTCTACTTACCTCCACTGTGCTGTCCGGAACCTTCTCTCCCAAATCTCTTTTGGCTTTGAAAATAAAAGAGACCCCCTTCCTCAGTTATGAAATGCAATATTTATTTACTTATTTATTAACAATGTTTGCATGTTGCCCAATAACATAAAGTTCTCTGGGTGGTTTACCATTAATAAGCCTAAAAACAATTTAAAATTAATGAAACAAATCAAAAGTAGCATAAATACAGCAAGGAAACAAAAACTCTAACCCCACAATTAAAGTACAGATTTTAGAACTGAGAGGTCCAGACTGCACAAATTTTTTAGAAGGTCTGGATGAACAAAAGGCTCTTCTCCTGAGACCAAAAAGAGCACAAAGATGGCATCAGGCGAATGAGTTGCTTAAGTCAGCAGTTTCTAAACCCAAAACATTCTTGAACACTGTTCAATATCCTAGACATTCTGCATCTGTCTGTCCTTCTTCTCCCAGCTAGCTACTGAGTGGAAGGATGGGTACCAAAACTGAAATCTCATTCTGGAAAAATGCTCCCACACTGTTGAAATGTCTTCACATTTTTTGCCCCACGCTGATCTGCTTAGTTTCATCCAAGCTTGTGGCACCACAAGAAGGACCAGAAGAGGCATTTATCCCTATAGCTCTCATACAACAAATATTTTCACTTCTTTGCTCCTTCCTGAACAAGAGTCACATAACTCACTTTGGCCATTTCAGCATAATGAAACCAGAAGTTAGACTTGTGTGACTAGCCTGTCCCTGCCATTAGGCACAAAGAGATAGGCACCTCAGGCAGCAAGTTTGGTGTGTCATGAAAATTGTTTAGTTGTTTAATGTCTTATTATTTTAATTTTAGTCATAGGGGAAGACACACGTTGGATTTTCTTATTTGCTATTCCAGCTCAGGTAGAAAAACATGTTGGGCTACCCAGTTGAGTATCTCAGAGACTGTGCTTATACAATCTATTGCTGGGCCAACTCCAGTTCAATGTATACAGTTCTTTCCAATCAACATATATCAGCATGAAGTCTATAGCTGCAGAGTTTCCAGACTAACAGGCAGCTAAAAGATCTTCCAGGTCAGATTTCGGATTTGGAGAACTACTGACTAGGGAGAAACGTATAGCAAGAGAAATAATGAGAGTGTGACCTCATGGAATGTATTCTTTGGAAAATACCATAACTTTTTTTTTTTAAAGCAAACAACTTTAGCATGCTTCAAGGATCCATTCTGGAGGTTCAAAGAGACTTTAAGACATTTTGTCCTTCCTATTCCTGTATGCCAAGTCTCAGAGGATTAGCTAAGCTTCAGGGTAGGAAGTGAAGAAGAACCCAGAGAAGCAGACTAACCTGTTGGAGATCCTTGCTTGGACTGTATTTCCATCTGAGCTCCATTGGACTTTAAGGAAAGGTTCTTTGTCCCATGTTGCTTCTCCAGCTCCCCTGAGATACACGGAAAGAACATTTTTTTAAAGAGAGAATGGAGACAGAACTAAAAAGTAGAGCAGAAAGAAAGAAAGACAGGAAGATATGGAAGTGGAAGCAACAGGAGACAAGCAGAGAAATAATGGTTAGAGAAAGTGTATTCATGCATGCACACGCACACACAACGGATGTGTCTATTCTGTGCTTTAAAAATATTAAACATTTTAGCCCTGGAATCTACGTCCTGTGCCAAGGAAACACAAATTCTAGAACCAGTAAAAATTATGCACAATGAACATATTCAAAAACATTTATTTGGCCTGAATGGAATGGCAAGGCAATGAATCTCTGCATCCTGGAGTTCTCAGCTATTCATTTGTGTAGCACTATCCATTTATTCATTCCTACAGCTTGTAATCAGCTCCTCTGTGAATAGCTGAAGCCAGATTTGGGCATTCCTTAACTATCTGTTTGGGATAGGGGGAAACACTATAGGAAGCTGGCTATGGAGCAGTTCTTTGGGAGAGAAGACTCTGGTAGGAAGTATCAATCAGTGCTAGTACACAGGGGAACATTGCAGGATTTTGTGCATCCAGGCAAGACAGTTAATTATCAGGCAAATTTGGAATGCACTTTATAGAGCTGTGGTTCTACTCCCACACCCACCCTACAGACTTCTTGAAAATTACTTCAGGACTCAGTGGACCACTTAATGTTGTTGTTGTCGTTGTTGTTGTTCCACAAATCAAAGCACATGAACAGCTCATGTTTAAAAACCCTTAGTATCTCTTTAGTGTGGTAGATGTGTCTGTTTTATGGATAAAGTTATGCTGGAGTTGTCAGTTTTATCAAGGCCAAGTGCATATATTCTCAACTGTTCTGCACCCTTCTCATGGCTCATCCTAAGGATGAGTGAATCTTTTCCCCAGACTTAGGTTCCGTTTTCCACATTTCCACACCAGTTTTGGGGGCGGGGGAGAGAATTACATCCTCATGAAAAGTTATCAGCAGTTTAGCATGAATGTATGCATTTTGTATGCAATTTTGCCCAATAAACCATTTTTGCAAAGCAATCTTTCCTTATATAATGCGTTTTGTATGGCACTTTCACTAATATATGCATTTTAGAAACCCTTTACCCTAATGTGTGCATTTATGTCCACATTATGTGGCTTATTGTACTCACATATCAGCATCACTCACTTTCTAATAAAATCCTCCCACCCCAAGAAGATACAGCCAGCCCTCCACCCTCATCCAGCTCCACAACCAAGGGTGCCATTTTGAGTAAGGGGCCATGATAGTTTACAGCATCTCTGGTTATTCATGAGGAACATTTTATCTCTGGCAAACTTGCCAGTTCTAATGCTGAGAAATTAGTGCTGCAAAAAATTAAGTGTGGCTTGCCCTAGATGCACATGCCAAAGGCATGAATCTCATTACTTGCAAAGAATGATGTCTGATGATCCAGTATTGATAACATTTTTATAATTGTTTTGTAGCATAAATATTTTAAAATCACAGAAATATTCTGAAATACACCAGCTTTTGCATTTCCATTTAATATTGAATAGCTTCATTTTTATTTAATATTGACTAAATTCGTTTTTATTTAAATTTGCACATATTCAAGAGAGGACCATTAAACCTTGTTGGGACTCCTACCCCCCTCCCCCCTCCTGAAATGTGAAATGGCACCCCTGCTAACAAGAGACACAAAAATACACAAGACACGGACATATATACATACAGACAGAATGACTGCATGGAGTCTGGGCCACGCTGGGAGCCTTACATTCAATTCGAATCTGTTCTAGCTCCATCACCTCTGCTATTGACTCTTTTAGGTCTTCCACAAATTTCTGCATTTCCTCGGCTCCCAGAGCACAGAAATGGAGTACCTGTTTCTTCTCTGAGCCTGAAAGGGGAGTCACCAAGGTGATGCCGTGTGGGTAATCTACAAAAAAAGGAGAAGAGGGGACATAAAACTAGTGTTGTGGGTTCTATACATTAAAAAGGCTGAAGCAGTCTGAGAAGAGACCATAGCTCAGTGGGAAAGCAGATGAGAAAGCCCCCATTCCTGGCATCTCCAGTGAAGAGGATCATGTGACAGGAGCCGGGGAAGGCCTCTCTAACGAAGATCCTTGCCAAGTCAGAGTAGACAGTCCTGTGTCAGAGTAGACAGTCCTTAGTTAGACGGACAAGCAGCCTGACCTACTTATTAAGGCAGCTTTCTACATAATCCTACTAATGAGACCAATTAGTATAATAATAAACACAGCTAAACACTGCCAGGTTTGTTCCTGCTAAACAAGAGGATTGGTTGGTCCAGAATAAAAATCTGGACCCAGCTGGTTTATGGATGAGGGCGTTGGGGTTCTAAGGCTGCAATCCTATACCATCCCTCTCAAGTCAACCAGGTTTACTTCAGAGTAGACTGCACTATAAGTCTGAAATAGGCCACCTCTTGAAACGGCACTTCTTTGTTTTGAATGCATATGAAATATTGCCTCAGTTTGTTCATGTTGATTTTTCCAAGTAACTCACACAAATAAGCAGCTGTGCAAATTGAAATAGCACACTTTTGGAGGGGGGGGGATTCTGCAGTGGTGCATATGAACAAGTGCTCACATCAATGGTAGAAAGGGCCCAGGATGGAAAGAGGATATGCATTTCCATGTGTACCAAAAAGGAGCGTCCATCTGAGCACCATAATGCAGGTGGTGATATGGATTTCTGCATGGAACAGCCTGCCCAAGTATTTCCAAGTATGAACAAACACCTAGTCAAAAATGATTGTGTACAAGATTTCAGTGCATACTTTCACTAATGCGTATGACTCAAACAAGAGAAGGCATGGGAGCTTAGTTTGATGCTGGGTCTACACTGAGAAAACCAATTGACTGACATGACTTAGTGTTTGTCAAATTGCAGAAATCCAGTTCAAAATGATCACAGATCATTTTTGCATTGGTGGGTGCCATTTGATGACAAAACCCAGGTAATTTGGAAACCACAAAAGCCTGGGAGAAATTGAGAGGCAGAGAGAATGTTGTGAGTAACCTGCAACAAGAGACATTTATCAGTTTGGTATAACATAGCACAGTGTGTTTCTATAGATTAAGTTAAATGTTAGGAGGATACATTCTCAAAGGCAGCATACATGAGTCTCTTTTTGCCAGCTATATATTTAAAACAAAGAAGTGCAGTTACATTTGCATCACTCAAGGGGCTTGCAACAGTTAAAAACATTAAGGCACTATGCTCCAATACTTGCTTAAGAGCACAACTAGGCTTGCTATGTCAACTGATAATATATCATTTCTATGTGGGGTTCCTAAAAGGTGTTTGCACCCTGTTCAAGCTTTATACAAAAAACACTGTATTGGATTAAATTATCCTGGATAGCCTTGGAGTGGCTTGATGATGTGTTACCTTGTTAACATACAAATATTGTATGTTCCAACTATTAAACTTTCATTGGTGTCCAAGGTACCAGCTTATTGATTTTGGTAGAGTTTTCCTTAAAATAAACCTCAGCAAGATTACGTTGGTAATATTTGGTGGGAAGTCTATGAAACATAAATGTCACATAGATGGAAACATTCCAGAGCAATTTAAAGTTTTGAAATACCTAGCAATTTGGTTTTCAGCCAACGAAACTAGCCATATAGATATAAGAAACACCAGGACTTTTGTGTGTGACAGTACTCACTTGTACACAGTATCGGCACTGCTTACTTTCCTGCCAATGGCAGCCATTTTGTGCTGGCACCCATAATACTTTTATATGAGTACTGGTACCTCATTTTAAAAATATAAAATAGCACCAAGGTCAAAGCAACAGGATCCTTTCAAGCCATACTCTACTCCTCTGCAATGCACAATGGGAAAATCCTTTCCCCAGCTTTAAAAGCTTGTGGGTTTTTTTACATCTAAGGTGCCTGCACAAATACTGCATGGTGCCAAAATATAGAGGTTATGGGTAACAGGTGGAAGCTGAAATTGTTGCTTCAAACCACTCTCTCATTAAGCAGCAGGCTACTCATCTTTCCAGCACAAGGCATCACACTACTACCACTGTATAAAAATTCACACTATAAATCTTGTCCTCCAGTGTCATCTGGCGAGTGACCAAAACTGTGACAAACTTACATTCATTCTCAAAGAGATGGAACTGCATTCCTAACAGGCCGACTGACTTGCAAAATGTGTACGTTGAAGAGCTTTTCTTCTTGGGGCAAAGCTTGAGAATCTGTTTGAGGACAGAGAAATGAAGAGGGTTTTTCAGATGCAACAGCAAAGGCCTTCTCTGAGTAAAACATAGCTGAATACTACCCCCAAGATTTGTTCCCTCACAGTGACCTCATGGAAGAACACTTGGGAGTTACTCTCAGCTACAACATTTGTCCTCTGTGGTCATAATTCCAGGACACTTACAGAAAACCTGCTTACTGGGCATTCATTCCTATACATTTGCACAGATGATGGCTGGCTGTTTAATGAGAATCCATTCTAATTTGTTTTTGGAGACGTATTTTTTTCACCACTTTCCTTATCGCATAAATCCTGATCTTTCGGGGAATCAACTGCAATTACACCACCCAAATTATCCAGCATGTGATTGAATCCCACTCGAAACTAGAGTCAGTCTGGAAAGAACCCCGGGTTTAATTTCTTTGCGTGCAGAAAGGTGAACAATGAATTGCCCATGAAAGTGTCTTGTAAGGGGATACATTATTCATTCCCTAATCCTTTGATAAAATCCACACTAGAAGAACATGCGAGAGACTGTTTCAAGCTTTAAGTGGTTGCAGGGACAACACCTATCTTCGAAGGGGCTGGATCAGGACAGAAGGTAGCAAGGGGTTAAAGCCCCCTTATTCCTCCATCATGATCACATTCTGGATCATGCCCCCTGTACCTGCTATTTACTTGTTTGAAGCATGCCGTGCAATTACTAACTGCATCAAGTCCAGTTTGGCTCAAATAAACGGCACTGTTTAAAAAAATCTGATAACTGTCACCAGAATGTACAGCATAGGAAATTTAGTGAGAAATATGCTTTGGTGTTTCTTTTTCTACTCTCCAGGGAGTCCTGTCAAATCACCCGTGTCAGATTCACAGAGATTTTAACTTATTAGTTTCACTGAGCTCCTGTGAAACAAAGTAGAATGGATTAAGATGGAGATGTGTTTTTATTCTGCGGTGACTTTTCCTTTCACTATGCAGGGGAACATGAAACTGGATTCTCTTGAGTGTGCATCCACAAAGTTATTGCTTGCACTTTGCAAAAGTGTACAAATGCAGAGAGTCCATACCTGCCCCTTTATTTCCATGAATAATTGGCAATTGGCTTGGCAGGTAGCTGAAAGTATACTAAGTGCACACATGGAGCATACAACTTCAGCTCCATCACTGGCTCCTAACTCAGTTTTGGGAAAGTTTCTTGTTTTCAGCAGCACAGCTCAGCTGGTTACAGCGTGGTGCTGATAATGCCAAGGTTGCAGGTTCGATCCCCATATGGGAGAACTGCGTATTTCCTGTATTGCAGGGGGTTGGACTAGATGATCCTCAAAGTCCCTTCCAACTCTGCAATTCTTTTATTCTGTGAGTTCTTTCTCCCATATGAACCTGTCCGCTCAATAAGATCATCTTCAAAGCCTCCGTTCCTGCCCCACTCACTGTCTGATGTGTATTGGGAGGCTGTGGTCTCTCAGTCATGCACCTAGACTATGGGGCTCCTTCCTGAAGAACATTCGCTTAGAGATGGAACTTATATAGCAAGCTAACTCTGCTAATTCATCTTAGAAAGTGTCAAATCCATTGCTGTTTTAAGGCTGTATTTCATTTTGTTGTCTTATCTCTGCTGGTGCTGTAATTGTAATCTTTGAGTCATGGTGGGGCATAGTACAAGGTGGCATTAAAGACTGATTTTTATATCTATCTATCTGCACAAATACATACATATACATACATACATACAGCAACAACAACAACACATTTGTTGCAGTGTTTGGAAGGCAGGTAAGTGATTTCATGACCGAATGCTTCCTTGAGCAAAAGAACAACCAGCAGAACAAACCTCATACCCACGGAAAACCAGCATATCACAGATAAAAAGGTATCTAAACACCTTCTCCCTGATTGCTACCTTTCTACATAGAAGGGACTTTTATAAGTAAGAGAGAATGCAACACCTCACAGCAAATCCAACCTGGACGTCCTAGGGGAGTCGCGTGTCCTGTGCTTTTCCTGAACACTGGCTCTAAGTCCCTTTGCGATGCTGTGATTCTCAAGGCCAAAGGCCACTCACCACCAGCAAATCATTGAAGAGGAAGACCTCCCTCTGGTGAGCAGCTTGCTTCTGTACTTTGTTCACGTCCGTCACTTCGTAAAGTCGGCTGCAGCAAACTAACCGGCGATGTGGCACTGAGAGGACCTGGAAGACAGAGACGGAGTGGAAACAGTCCCCTTCCTTATCCACCAACCCCAAAGCATTGCACGTTAAATGACTTCAAGCAAGCTTTTGCAATGGCTTTGCCCCACCACCACCTGCAGCCTGTTCTCATCAGGACATTTTCTGCTCCATAATGGCACTGAATGTACCAGAGCAGCCTATCACAATTATGGCAGGCAAAGTTCGTTCATTTCAGGACTTTCCCTGATCTGCAATATCTCGCTGCACCTGATGGAATTGGAAGACCTTGGTGCTTACATGAGCACAAAAATATAATAGGGCCTGTGATGCAAAGTCTACTACGTGTGGTCCTTTTCTTGGAGGGAGAAGGGAAAGCAAGTTTTTAACCCCCCATGACAGCAGAGAAGCAAATAGAAACTGAAATGGCAATGTTGATTGTTATGGATCACAAGTGGAATCAGCAACAAAGTGTTTCAAGGTTCATCTTTCCTCATTAAAGGAGCATTTCCTGTCCTGAGTTCCTCCCAGCCATTTTCTCCCAGCAGACCATTCGACTCTCCACTGCTAGGTTTTCCATTTTTCTCTTCCGCAAGACTCAGAATGTCCTATGATTACTGAGCACACATAGTCCTCTGCAGACTGTTTAGAAGTTTGTTCGTTTTAAAATGTATTTTTCTGCTTCTGGAAACCTCAGAGTCCTTCCAAGCATACTGCTACCTTCCTGTTTCTGTTTCTCAGTGGCCCCATTTTGGCTCCAGTCTTATTGGCACTCACCACCTGAGTTCACTATTAGAGGGAGTGATTTATACAGGGCTGTCACTGCAGATGGCACTTTGCAGAATAACATAAGCAAAAAAGGACAGGCCTCTGCTTCAAGGAGTTTATGGTCTAAATTGTGATGAAAGGAAAACAAAAGAGTGAGGACAGGGAGAGGAGAGAGACAGGAAAAGGGGGGGCATAATGTATATGTAAAATGCAGTTACATGTGCTGAAGCTTAATTTCAGTAGGGGCAAGGAGGACTAACTAACTAATTACCGCTCATGGCTTAGAAATCAGAGGGAGAACAGCTGGATCATCACAGGAATATCTACACAGTGATTCTCCCAGGAAGGGGTAGACAAATCTGTCCATTTCAGCTTCTCTCGATTTCTCAATTTTTTCCAGTTTTAAGCTCGTTTCTCCCTATTTCCTCATTAGCCTGATTTTTTTTTTAAGGGGGGGGAAAAAGTCCTCACAAACATTTATCAGCATTTTAATGTGTGTTTCTTCTAACTGATAAATTTCTGTATGCATTTGGCCTAGTATGAAACAATCATCCCTAAAACAATGCAACTTCATATGTTATTTTTACTAATATATGCATATTTACATACATTTCCCCCCCCTCCAAACATTCACATTTCTTTACAAATTATTCAGGTTGGAGAACCACACTGCAAAATTTTGAGAAGTGCAATTAACAAAAGATGTTGGTTTGTGCATTGTTTTGGGAAGTGTGATTTAGGTGGGCTCTTGTTAAAATTAAAAGTGAACTGAATACCCCACACCTACTAAAAGGCCCTTTGCAGAACCCGCCACCCTGTACTCCAGGCACATGTGGTCTCTGTACACACAGATGGGCCCTGAGACACCTTCAGCCTTTTGTGCCTTCCTATGGAATTGGCTTCCAGGTTACAAGGCAGGCAGGGTCTGCAAAAACGATTGCTGCCCGGAAAATCAGGCAGACGTACTCAAGACCATTTTCAAGGGCAAACAAAATAAATAACGATGCGAAAAAATAATAATTATAAATGAGATCAGAGAACACTGCAGAGAAAGAAAAGAGGAGATGGGCACATTAAAGGAAAATGTAAGTCAGAATGAGAAGGCTAATCATATACCGTATTTTTTGCTCTATAAGACGCACCAGACCACAAGACGCACCTAGTTTTTGGAGGAGGAAAACAAGAAAAAAAATATTCTGAATCTCAGAAGCCAGAACAGCAAGAGGGATCTCTGTGCAGTGAAAGCAGCAATCCCTCTTGCTGTTCTAGCTTCTGGGATAGCTGCACAGCCTGCATTCGCTCCATAAGACACACACACATTTCCCCTTACTTTTTAGGAAGGAAAAAGTGAGTCTTATAGAGCAAAAAATACGGTAATTCAGTGGCAGAATAGCACATGCTTCGAATGCAGAAGGGCCCTAGTTCAGCCCCTGACATCTCTAGTTAAAAAGATCACAAGCAGAATGTGATGGTGAAGACTTCATCCTGAGACTCTGTATGATGAGGCCTTGCCAGTTCAGTGCGAAGCAGGGGTTTGTATCTCTGGCCCTCCAGACGTGGTTTAGACTCTATCTGCCACCATCCTTGACATGCTGGCTAGGACTGATGGGAGCTGATCGAGTCTAACAGGTTCCCCATTCCCGAGAAGGACAATACTGGGCCAACAGGACTTACCTGGCACAAGGCAGCCTCATAAGGAAAAAGTAACCATGGAGCAAACACGATTGCAAGGGATAACAACAGCAACAACAGTAACGCAGATTGCCTTTGTGATGGGCAAAAGGCTCACCGTTTTCATTCCAACAATGGATTTTTCTACTTTGGTGACATAGGTTACATGGTCCTCATTTGATTTGAGCTCTCTCTGTTGGATCCTCTCGTAAATTCCCACCACTAAGTCCCGGGGAATGTCAGCTCCATCATCCACTCCTGTGAAGCATAAACAATGAGAACAGAGATAAAATATGAACCTGAGTTACAAGGGGGTGTACTTTTTCAGAGGCTTGAGAAAGAGAAGATAGAGTCATGGTTGGCTGCGATAAATGCACATGGTCATATATTTCTGTCCCAGTAAGGGCTCTGGCCAAAGAAGAATCGCCTCTGCAAACCTGTTGGACCAGAGATTATGGGGAGGTGCAATAACTATAAATTTGTAAGATTGCATTTTTTTTTTCAATTTCATGACCAGCTAGTGAGCAATTTCAAATGTACATATATTTACAAGATCAACAATGCAAATAGGCTCTTCTCCCTCTCTCGGAGAGGTGGCAGTGCTACTTTCCTCCCTTCGGGTACATATCTTTTAGTTATTTTGGTGTTATGTGCATCTACCTCTGGCTTGAATTCTACTTCACGCTGGGATTATGGCTCATCCAAGCAATGCCCTCACCTCTGAGGTTCCGAATAAAGTCCTCCAGCATCATTTTCCTGTCAGGTTTGATGTTAGGGCTGTACATATCCGTGTTGAGAAGGATGATAGCAAAGGCCAGGATGAAGATGGTGTCTGGGTTATGGAATTGCTGGACTACGTCAGGGTTACACATGCAGTACCGCTGGCTGCAGGTGGGGGAGACAAAGTCAACACACATGAATGGAAATCAAATGCCACTAATACATAAATTTAAATGTCTGGGGATCCTCAGATTACTTACAGTCTGACTATCAATGATGACACCAAAGTTTATTTTATTCCATAAAATCTATACACCACTTGACTGTTTCAAAAAAATGCTTCAAAGTGGTTGGGCCTACAATCCCAGAGCTATAACTCAGAATAAAAGAACAAGCCAATCACTTTAGGTAGATTCAAAAGACCAGGAAGCATGTTAGATTTCACATACACAGCTTGCAGTGCATCAGTTGGTTCTACAAGCACACAAACGGAAAAGTCTGTTTCCCAAGAATAACTGATCCATGACAGAAATGGGAATCTGGGTAAAAAGACTTTGGCAATCCCACCCGCCATTGCACCCAATGTGTTTTGAATATATGTGATTTTGGCTTTAGGCATGATCCCTGGAACATAACCCCTGCGTATGTTGAGGGCTTATTGTATTTGAATATGTGCAGAAACTTCCCTGCAACAAAACTGTGTGCTTGTGGAAATCTTCTCAGACGGGTCTGAGTTCTGCATGCCTCAGTAGCACTGCCAAGAGTACCACATGCCTCAGAAGTGTAGCACTAGAAACAGGGCTGTTAGTGCTGTAGCCCCAGCCCTCTGGAATCAATTACCAAATGAAATTAGACAGGCACCTGCTGAAGATGTTTTTGTTTAAGAAGGTTTTCCCTGACATGTGACCTCCCCATCATTTATGAAATACTAATTGTAAATTTGTAGGAATGGCTTACATCTGGTGAGCCTGTCAATGCCGTCTGACTGATTTGTGGGGCAGCATAACACCAACCATAGCCACAAAACTGGGAAGGAGCAGCACCCTTCATGAGATCTTGGGACCCTACACCTCGCATGGCCCAGCGGAATCTCACTACAGGAACCTTTAAAACCTACTCATAGGTTTACTCTTCCTTGGGTGAGGGGAAACTCCTGGCTACTCCTCAGACAGTTGACCTCCAACATTGGAAGCAGCTGCCTGTCAATCTCTACCACATCAGTGCGGCTCTTACCTGAAGGCTTCAATCAACCTCTCCACCTTCTGGGCCTCTCCCTGCACCCGGATGTGGGCTTGAAATTTCCGCAAAGCTTCATCAAGCTCCATGCCAGAGAAGTCCATCTCATCTACTACACAGCTAAAGGAAGGAGAAAACAAACAGCATTACTACAAGCATCTCTGCATAACAGCCTCCTTGGAGATGTACGATGGAAAAACAGGCCTATCATAACAACATGGAAGATTTCAGCAGGAATCCCATTATTCCTTCCTAAAAAAATCAAGATGTGACTACACCCCATCTTGCTTCTGTATCTTGCTCTCTTTTGGCTGACATCCGAGCTCACTTGGAAAAAGCCTTGGGTCTACTGAAGATACATTTCAGTTATATTTTTATCCCACCCTTCCTCTCTAAGTAGGGCAGGGCAGTATGAATGGCTCATCCCACAAACCCCTCCTCAACATCACTGTGAAGTAGATAGATTGAGAAAGTGGGAGTGGTCCAAGGTCACCCAGTGAGCTTCATGGCTGAGTGAGGATTTGAATACCAGGGTATTAGGTCCTAGTCCCAACATTCTAACTGAATGCTAGTATTCATCTAGCCTTCTCCAGTCTTGTGTCCTCTGGGAATTTTGGCCTGTGGTTTCCATAAACACCTGAACACTGTCCATGTTAGCTGGAGCCGCTGGAAGCTTTAGCCCAACAACATTTGGAAGGCACCAAGTTGGGGAAGGCTGGTCCACAATGGCTGGCAGTGGCTCTGCAGGGTTCTAGACAAGAGATTTCCTCAACCCTACCTGGAGATGGCAGGGATTGAACCTTGGGTTTTTTGCATGCGAAATGTGTGTTCTGCTACTGAGTTATAGCCCTATCCTAAATGGGAGTGGGCAAATGGGGAGAGAGCATTTCAGGTCAGCCTCAAGGTGAAGTGCCTTGAACAGTCCATGAGTGTTGTACAGATACTAAAGTGTTGCCGTATGTGTGGACTCAAATTTGGGTGGAAATAACCCCCTAAACCAGCAGTGGGGAGCCTGAGGTCCATGGGCAGAATACAGCCCTCTCTCCCTGCCCCTCAAGACTCCCCAGGACAAACACAACCCTCCCCCCAAAGCAGACCCCGTCTGTACTCTGTACTCCATGCCCTCCTTGATAATGTCTCTTGTTTGCCTATATGAATGGCAGAGAGGTGTAGGGGTATGCATATCTGCAGATATCTCTAACTTGCAAAGCTGAAATCCATTGCTCCACCTACCCTTGCCTCTGGTCCTGCCCAACACTGGCACACAGCCCCCGAGGTGTCCCATGAGGAAATGCAGCCCCTGGACTGAAAAGGGTCCAAATACTTGGTCTAAACTAAGTCTCTGAAGAAGAAGAAAACTATAATCTGTCTCCAGTTGCAGAGACCTGGGTTTGGTTTTTTCCTGTGCCAGAGGAACTGTTGATACCACACTCAAGTATAAAGGGAAGAAAAATCAATGTGACTATTCCCCCAAGACAGTCTTTATTTTTTCCCTTCAAGGGGCAGATCAGAGGATGCTTGCAGAAGGAGAAAGAGCACTAAAGAGCTATCCCTCTTCCTCTCCCGTCCCTCCTCCTCTCTGTTTGTTATTTTTATTTTACTAACACATACACTTCTTCTTCCCATGGGGTCACATCAAGGCTTCTTGCTGCTAAATGCTTAGCTTTGATAACTGCAGAAAATTTCCTAGTTAATCAATACCAGGTTCACCACTGCAGTCACCCCTGGAGACTTTAAAATTTGGAGGAAATAAAGAAAAAGAAATAAATACTTGAAGTGCATTGCGCTTCCTTGCACGAAGACACCATTAAAGACTGAAGCCTACTCAACAGAATCGGGACTATAGATCCCATCTTCTCCATCAAGGGAACATCTAAGGCTGCATTCTCCATGCCAGGGCATGGTTAACGACTGCAACCTAAAGACTTATGAGTTCTTAGCAGTTCTCTGTAATTTTGCCTGGAATGGCACCAGTGTTACTGTACCGTTATGAGTTTGGGGTGTTAAACTGGGTGCCAAACCCCTCTAATCCCTGGATCCAGCAAGTGTTAGAATTTAATCAAGGCTTCTAATTCTTGGAATAGCTAGGCTAGCCTCCTGGTGAGGTGATAAGACTGGGTGATGGGCTATTAAGGGAAACAAAGGAAAAGGGCTCTGTGTGAGACTGCAAATGGTTGGGGCATCTCCCTCAACTCACAGATAGTTCAAAGGACAAAGCCTTAGTGTAGGGTTGAGGTAGCAGTGATGTCACCCAGAAGGAAAGCAGTAAGAAGTGATCTACTTGCAGATCTCTGGGTAATTTTTGTAGTAGACCAGAAAGACTCCCAATTGTTTAACAATTCCAACAAACAAAAAAGGCGACTCTTATGACAAAACTAGGGCACTGAATTGAAAAAAGAAAGAAATAAGCTTGGGGAGAAAGCAGGAGATGGTTTGTGGGTGGCAAGGACTGTGAGCTCAGGTCTGCTGCTGAAAACAAATTCCTGGTGTTCAAGGATATGTTCCTTAATTCAAAGTCTATGTTTGGCCCCTAGGCCCTTATGGATCTGGGTAATGGGTCTTGGGGGTACAAGCAAAAAACAAAGCAGATCCTGTAACCTTTAAGCCTCTGCACAGCCCTGGTTTAAAATATATATTGGCTAGTTGAGTTTGATGGTGGGGGTGTGCATCAGTGTCTCCTAGCTACTTCTTCTTTTTGCCAGCAATATGATAATTCATAACAAATGCAAGACCAAGAGGGAGGTGGAGAAGACAAGGGAGCTTGTCACATTGGTGTTTACTGTGAATTTGAGGCTGATTTCTGGGCATTGTTTACATGACACTACCCTCAACCAGAACCCATCCCATGTGTGATTTCCTAAAGTAACCAGCACAAAAATGGATACATAAAAATTCAAGGCCTCAATACCTTAAGGACCTCCCCTCGCAATCCTGTGTTTGTCATCCAAGGCCCTTCTCTATGTCCTGCCTTCCCGAGAGATTCGGAAGGTGACAACACAACAACAGGCCTTTTCTGTGGTGGCTCCCGCTGTGGAATTCTCTCCCCAGAGAGGCTCGCCTGCTGCCATCATTACATGTCTATAGGCACCAGGTGAAAACATTCCTTTTTACCCAGCCTATCAGCCATTAAATAATCTATGGCCTGTTAAATTGGTATGTGCTAATGTTGTTGTCATTGTTGTTTCATTATGCTCTGTATTATGTTTTTATTATTATGCTGCGTAAATGATGTTCTTAATGGGCCCTTTGGATAAAGGGCAGTTAAATAAATAAATAAATAAATAAATAAATAAATAAATAAATAAAACAAGCAAGCAAGCAAGCAAGAAAGAAAGGTAGCTAGCTGCCAAAATATAGTACAACATGGGGCTTGGCTCTTTTATACATATCATATGTATAATATACATATTATTTCATATCTAATTTTGCCTGTAATTAGTTGGGCTTTAAAAATAATAATAATAATAATAATACACAAGTGGTTCAGACATAAGCAGCTGCTTGATACAAGAGGTGGTTCAAAAGCAAGCAAAGATTGATTGGGCTGGAACTGCTTAATTACAGGTATAAATCCCCTTAAAACAAGATTCCTCTTCCTTCATTTCTAGCCACACTGTTGAAGCTGCACAATATAGACAGGATTATCCCAAAGGTGCTCTCTTTAATAACCTTTGGGGATGTTTCAAGCATTATTATTCGGAAGGGAGGAAAAAATAGAGCACTGAGTCATAGAGAGAATGCATTTTAACGTGAGTATTGGTTATGTATGTAACAAACAAATAGGTATAGCTATGCAAAATAAAGACGGTGTGTGTGTTTTGTAGCAAGTGATCAGATTTTAGCATGGAGCTTTTATAAATGTATAGACAAAAAGCTACGCACAAGCTTGAAATCCATCAGATGCTACTGTTTGGCTGACTGTTACTAAAGACTCTCCTGGAACAGTCTCTTCTACTTTTCCAAACATCCCTTTAATGCGGAGGCAGGTTTACATGGACGGCACATAATAAACCTAAGTATCACTGAGCGCCAGTAGAGCTTTAAAACATGGAGGGGAGGGGGGAGACACAATTCTATTGTGCTTGAATCCAGAGCCCCTGAGATCACTTTCATCACAATTTCAACCACTGTAATTTCTTGTTGGTCCTTCTGCCCACAAGTAGCATCGCCAGAAGAAACCTCAGTGTCTTGCCAGTGCATATTCTGCCACAAGGCACCTAGGACAGGACTCATCGCAGCACCGGAGGCTCACAGTGCAAGGGTTTGGGAAAGGCAGGAAGCAGCTGTACCGTTGTGGGCCGGGGATGTGCTCAGCCAAGCGCAGTGACCTATTTTCCAAGCTTTTTCCGCTCAGGTGACAATGCAGCGGGAGCCAGCTTCCCAATAAAAGCGTCTGCAAAATGAACTCGTAGCCCACACTCAAGAAGGGAACAGAGGAGAGGCAGCCAGGTGGAAACTCTTAAAACCACAAGACACAAAGATATTAATAAGTAACAGCCCTCTTCCCTCCCTGAAATAAACAACTTCAGGGCAAGCTAGGGGAAGGGGAACTTGCCTCACGTTGCTCAGGCAACAACCCTGTTCACCAATGGTTCCCACAGTGGGGTCACAAACAACTCACTGGCTGCCCCCTCTTTACACCAATCTACCTTCCCTAATGCACCTTGCTCCCCTAGGAAGAATGGGTATATGCAATGTGGGGAAATGTGGGTAGGAAGACCGGATGCAAAAGAGCACAGTGTTTGAATTGTTGGGATGTGAATAGATGATAGGAGAGGAAATATTTATGAGATATTATCTTTCCTTCCTCACGTTTGTGAGTGTAGCTGAGTGGCATCCATTGGCAGCTTAAAGGGAAGCTTAGCTAAGCTTGTTTTAGTCTTTTAGTTTAAGTAATCCAAGCAGAATGCGGGTGGTGCTGTGGGTTAAACCACAGAGCCTAGGACTTGCTGATCAGAAGGTTGGCGGTTCGAATCCCCGTGACGGGGTGAGCTCCCGTTGCTCGGTCCCTGCTCCTGCTAACCTAGCAGTTCGAAAGCACGTCAAAGTGCAAGTAGATAAATAGGTACCGCTCCGGCGGGAAGGTAAACGGCGTCTCCGTGCGCTGCTCTGGTTCGCCAGAAGCGGCTTAGTCATGCTGGCCACATGACCCGGAAGCTGTACGTCGGCTCCCTCGGCCAGTAAAGCGAGATGAGCGCCGCAACCCCAGAGTCGGTCACGACTGGACCTAATGGTCAGGGGTCCCTTTACCTTTACCTTTAATCCAAGCAGAGGTGGAGCTAGCTGTTCCGGCACCCGGAGTGGCGCACATAGTGTGCACTTGGGGGCGGGGCTAGCCGAGCGCGGGGTGAGCATCCCAGGGGGGTGCCACACCCACTGCACCCCCTCCTTCCTTCTCCAGTGAATCCAAGATGCTTTAAGGAAGACTGGATTTTCCTGGTATTTCCCCCTTCTCTCCCCCTTAAATCAGCAATCACACAAAGAGTCCTATAAAAGGTAAAAATAACATTTACTCACTCAGAATACTTGTTGAAGAGTAACAGATGTAGCAACTTTGGTCAGGCAGGCTTAAAATGATAAAACCTGGCCACCAAGCCACTGGCCCAATTACTCATGCCAGGCTCCTCCAAAACGCCGAGACCTCCAGGTCCTTCAACATTTGCCAGATGAAATTGTGTTTTAAGTGAATATAAGGGAATGCTTAGGTGAACACTGAACGTAAGAAGAACCCTGTTGGGTCAGCCTAAATGTCCATCCACTCTAGTGTTCTACCTCTTTCCTGGAGTGGTCAACCAGAAGCCCCCAAAAAGCCCCCATGAAGGGTTTGAAGGCAACAGCCTTCTCCTGCTCTTGTTCCCCATCACCAAACTGAATAGGTGGGCATGGCCAACCCAAAGATATCTCTGCACAAGTGACAAAATCAGTAAAGACCATCAAGTGGTACCTACAGAGGGAAAGCAGCTATTGCACACACTTGACAAATAGATCCATTTGGATGAAAGGAATATAGGAAGCTGCCTTATACCGAGTCATGCCAATCGTCCATCGAGCTTAGTATTGTCTTCAGTAAGGACTCATCCACACTTTTCCTTGTCACTAGTTTTTGCTCTGCTGCTTTCCCCTTGAGAAACCTGCTCTTTAGTGCTAAACTGGAATGAAAAGCAATATGTGGGAAACCCCATAGCCGTTGTTTCCATTTCAACACCAAACCAGGGGGAAGCAGCAGAGCAAGCAGAGGTGTGGATAAGCCTCAAGTGACATTCCCTAGGAATAACAGAGATTGAAACTGGGACCTTCTGCATGCAAAGCAGATGTTCTACCTCTGAACTATGGATCTTCTGTATGTTTAACAGCAGTCCCACATGCAGAAACTGAACAGTCCCCAGCATAGGGAAAAGCCTTGCCTCCTTAATGTCTGCCTGCCAGGCTGATGCTAAAGGCACAGGGGAAGAAACAAAGGCTGGCAACCAGTCATTCAACCACAGAGGCTGCTGGTTTCATAGAGGAGATGAACTGAGAAATGTATTGCTGTTTCATTGTGATGGCGATGACCACGCGAAGCCAAGGGCATTTCCTTCCTACACAGATGTACTGAATTCCCTCCATGCTTTGGGGGAAGTGGGAACTTGTTCCTTGCACCTGTCAAGATTATTTATGAATTCGTTTCCAAACTGTCTACCCCACATTTGTAACCCGCAGGGCTGCAACAGCAGCTTATGGTTAAATACACACAAAAAGACGAAAACCCATACAAAAGGCAAGACACGCAGAGCCCAATGAAAACAATGAAACCACCAGGACAAGCAAGAGAAATCTAGCGAAGGCACAACAAATGCCTTCCTGAACTGGAAAGGCTCAACCATCTTTCTGGAACAAGTGAGGACATTTTGGATTTAGAAGGTTTCAGCAATGTATTTGGATGGCATGCATATCTGTGGTATGATAAGGTCAAAGCACATAAAGCATTTAAAAATCACATTGTCAGGAAAGCATTGTTTAATGTCTGGATAAGATACAAGGACTTATTGGAAAATAAAACCCCAAGGTGGCTGTCACCGATGGAAGCAAAAGCTCTGAAAAAGCTCAGTATGGAGGCCAAATGGCCGAAATATTGGGAAATTTTGGAACAAGACGGAGATAGATTGAAATTGCAGAGTTTTGAGAAATTAAAAAACAAAGTGCGAGACTGGCTTCATTACTATCAGATAATGGAGGCATATAATTTGGATAAGAAAATTGGCTTCCAGGTGGAAAAATCAAAATTAGAAACAGAACTATTAGAACCCAAAACTAAGATTTTGTCAAAGATGTATAACTTGCTGTTGAAATGGAATACTCAGGATGAAACGGTGAAATCTGCTATGATTAAATGGGCACAAGATGTTGGACATAACATAATGATGGCTGACTGGGAACAGTTATGGACCACAGGTATGAAGTTTACGGCATGTAATGCCTTAAGAGAGAATATTATGAAAATGATATACAGGTGGTACATGACCCCAGTCAAGCTTGCAAAAATTTATCATTTGCCCGATAACAAATGTTGGAAGTGTAAAGAAACTGAAGGTACATTCTTTCACCTTTGGTGGACGTGCCCAAGGATTAAGGCTTTCTGGGAAATGATATATAATGAACTGAAAAAGGTATTTAAATATACCTTCCTGAAGAAACCAGAGGCCTTTCTCCTAGGCATAGTCAGCCAATTGGTGCCAAAGAAGGATAGAACTTTTTTTATGTATGCCACAACAGCAGCAAGAATACTCATCGCAAAGTATTGGAAGACACAAGATTTACCCACTCTAGAAGAATGGCAGATGAAGCTGATGGACTATATGGAATTGGCAGAAATGACTGGCAGAATCCGAGACCAGGGAGAAGAGTCAGTGGAAGAAGATTGGAAGAAGTTTAAAGATTATCTACAGAAATATTGTAAAATTAATGAATGTTAGAATGATGTAGGATAGAAATTAAGTGGTTTCCAGCTGTAATGCTTTAAGGGAATATGAAAAATGGGTTGTTAAGAGATAAAAATCTAAAGTTACTATTTTAAGACTAAAGATTAGGATAAATAAAGAGGGTAAGGATTTGCTGAACCAACAAACTGAACTGGAATACAAAAAAGGGAGGTATGAGGAGGTCCGGGAAACAAGCTAAGGAAAAATAAGTAATAGAAAATCTGAGTGTTTTTAATCATTTTTTTTTGTTTTTTTTTGTTTTTCATTTTTTATTGTAATATTTTAAAAATCCTAATAAATATCTTATAAAAAAAAGAGGAGTTTCGTAGAGAGACTGCTGAGAAAGCCCTGGATTTGCCAGCCAGTCACCAAATTGCCCTTTGTTGAAGGGCTAAAGCTCACCAGCACATGTTTTACATGTCAGATTCAGTTCCTGGCATCTCTGGGTAGGTCTGGGGAAACCCCCTATCCCAGAAAGCTGCTGCCAGTCAGTAAAGGGAACACTGAGCTAGATGAGGAAACAGCAAATGAGCTTCTTCTTCATGCTGCACACAGTCAAACTATGGAACTCACTCCTTCAGGAGGAGGTGATGGCTTCTAACCTGGAGGGCTTTAAAAGAAAATTAGACCAATTCATGGAGGAGAGGGCAATTGATGGCTCCTGCCTCTGATGGCTACGCTTTGCCATAACAGTTGGAGGCAGCAATGCTTCTGAATACCACTTGCTAGAAACTGCAGAAGGGGAGAGTGTTCAAGAAGAAGAGGAGGAGGAGGAGGAGGAGGAGGAGTTTGGACTTGATATCCCACCTTTCACTCCCCTTAAGGAGTCTCAAAGCGGCTAACAATCTCCTTCTCCCTTCCTCCTCCACAACAAACACTCTGTGAGGTGAGTGGGGCTGAGAGACTTCAAAGAAGTGTGACTGGCCCAAGGTCACCCAGTAGCTGCATGTGGAGGAGCGGAGACGCGAACCCGGTTCACCAGATTACAAGTCCACCGCTCTTAACCACTACACCACACTGGCTCTCAAATCCTGCTTGCTGGCTTCCCATAGGCATTTGGTTGGTCACTGTGAGAACAGGATGCTGGACTGGATGAGCCACTGGCCTGGTCCGGCAGTCTCTTCTGATGTTCCTCTGCTACTTGCTACATTTTGACTATTATATATTTCTGGGAGAACTGAAAGCATTTCCTGTCATTGTGACCTTTGAGAAAGAACATAACACACCTGCTCATTCATCGAACCCCCTTCAAGGCTCGTCCTGAACAAACGACTACGCATTGCACAAAAGAGGCAGGATGGCACGTCCGTTTCCTGAAAGTCTGATCGGCTGCTTTCCGCCAATTTCTCAGTGGAAACAATGGAATTGCAAACTCTGGACAGTAAGGAGACCAGTTCGCCCTCCAGGAAAATAGATCAGAGCATACTGCCCCCAATGTAACAAACAACCTGCTCCCATTCACCAGAATGCCTCTTGCATTCAGAAAAATAACACTCGCTTTGGAAACAAATTGAAGACGACAGTTGTGCCTGACCTTCCCAGAATCCTTCGACTTGCACAACAAACAGCCCACCCCCAGTGATGCTGCCAGCTCCATTCATGGAACGAGCCATCCACTGCTTACCCAGCGGAGCTTATGAATGAACGGGGAGGGTATGACATTCTTGAGACAAAACATAAGGAACAAAAGGTGAACGGAATCAGGGCAAGATAGATGGACAAGAACAAAACGGTGGCATAGAAGGATGCTCAGGAGGGCGGAGGAAAGCAAATGGATAGAGATAATGACAGTGGGACAGGCATAACGGAGCTGATCTCTCAACCACGCTTAAGAAATTGAGAGTGGGCTGTGCAGGTCACTGTCGCTCCCCTCCTTCCTTCCCCTTTGGCCATGTATTCCCCCTCCTTTCTCAGTGTTTCGCCATTACAACTGCACAGATACTAGCCATACTTAATGCTAACCAGGTTCCCCATTGTGACAATAAGGACTGAAGGGTTTGCACACACTGATTAAGAAACATCTTAGCTGCATTCACCATGGCGAGCATCACTGCAGATGTAATGCTTAAGCCATAGTTTAGGCAAATCAGGGAAGGGTGGAGGGAGGAATATACACCAGTGAAGGGAGGAGGGCAGAGGATGTTGTGTGCTTCCTTGTTGTCTGTTGTCCACTTTCTTAGCAATAGGAAGCACTCATAATTTTTGGCAATATGGGCGGAAGAGGATAATAACAGGAAGATGCCTTATATCAGATCCATCTGATTATTAGTCCATCTAGCCCAGTTCAGACTGCTGTCCATGGTCTCATGCAGAGGGTTTTCCCTCTTTCCAGGGAGGTGCCAGAACTTGGGTCCTTCTGCATGTAAAGCATGTGATTGGCTACTGAGCTATTGCCCCTCCCTTCAAGTTAGCCAATCGAATCTTATTAGTGCAGTTCCCTGTGCAGGTTTCTAGCAAGCTATTCACACCCAAAAGTCATTTGAAACCTCTTTACTATATTAGAACATCGGAGATAAGCCAGGGGCTTATTATGACCATTGGGAGGTCAGTCTTCTCAGGGGCACACGATGGAGAGTTTCACAGCTTCTCTAAAAGGGATTCTATCATTCACTCATTTGATTTGATTAATCTAGCAGGGCTGCACTAGCTGGATCAATTCTTCCAGTACACATTTCAGGCGATGTTCATACAAGACTGAAGCTAGACAGGCACAGGAAGATGATGCAATTACAAATAATTTCAAACTGGGGAGCGCAGGGGAAGAACCGTGGTGGATTTGGAACTGTGTGCATTTGCAATGAGAAACCGCCACTATCACATTATCACAAGCAGCTGGAGTAACTACAGGCTCAAACAGCCAGTTTCTTTGGGTTTACTGTGCAAAAGAAAAACCAAAGCCTTCCAGCAGTGCTGGTGGATAGCTTGCATGGAAAGCAGTTCTGTTGGATGACTGGAGATAAGCATCTCAACAGACACATCTGAAAGGCCCTCTTTTTCTGTGAGTTATGATTAATTTTTGATCATAATAGAGGCTCTTTCTGGGAGTAAGTGCAGCCCTCACTTTGGCTACTGGAGCAGGGGAAATGTGTGTATGTGAAACCATATAGTGTTGCTCTTAAGGAAGCCTGTCCATCGACAGTGAATGCATCGAGAAGAAAGGGCTCATGTTATGACATGCAGGGTAGATGGGATGGGGATGTTTGAAGCATGCCATGTGCTGTGTACTTTCTTCATTGCAGCTCTCTCACAGTTCTTAATGGGGATAAATTCATTCAATCTGGGGGTTGCCCCCTATGTGAACCTACCTACCGTATTTTTCGCCCTATAGGACACACTTTTTCCCCTCCAAAAATGAAGGGGAAATCTGGGTGCGTCCTATGGGGCGAATGCAGGCTTTCGCTGAAGCTTGGAGAGCGAGAGGGGTCGGTGCGCACCGACCCCTCTCGCTCTCCAGGCTTCAGGAAGACATCCGCAACCTAGGCAGCCCTGCGGGAGTTCCCATAGGGCTGTCTAGGCTGCGGATAGTAGCCTGCTTCCCGGAGCGCCGGGCGCGCTGAAAGCAGAGCTCCCGGCGCTTCGGGAACACATCCGCAGCCTAGGCAGCCCTGCGGGAGGTCCCGCAGGGCTGTCTAGGCTACGGATAGCAGCCTGCTTCCCAGAGCGTCGGGCGCCCTGAAAGCAGAGCGCCCGGCGCTTCGGGAACATATCCGCAGCCTAGGCAGCCCTGCGGGAGGTCCCGCAGGGATGTCTAGGCTGCGGATAGCAGCCTGCCGCTCGGCGGGTGGGGCGCCCTGAAGCAGAGCACCCCTCGTGCCGGGCAGACATCCGCAGCGTGGGGAGCCCTGCAGGAGTTCCCCGCAGGGCTCCCCACGCTGCGGATAGCAGCCGGCTTCCCGGAGCGTCGGGCGCCCTGAAAGCAGAGCGCCCGGCACTTCGGGAACACATCCGCAGCCTAGGCAGCCCTGCGGGAGGTCCCGCAGGGCTCCCCACGCTGCGGATAGCAGCCTGCCGCCTGGTGGGCGGGGTGCCCTGAAGCAGAGCGCCCCTCGCGCCGGGCAGACATCGGCCAGCCCCACAAGCTCAGGGGACAGCAGGGAGGCGCAGCACCGCCATCCCACTGTTCCTCGACCTGGTTCGGTTTCCCCGACCTGCTTTTGGGGGGGGAAATAAAGGAATTTTTTTCCCCTTTATTTCCCCCCCAAAAAACTAGGTGAGTCCTATGGGACGGAGCATCCTATGGGACGAAAAATACGGTAATTCATACTTCCTGCACCAGTAAGTGCATCAAAACAAAGCTAAGCTTCCAAAATTCACACTTTTCTGGATTTTGTGATGCACTTCTCAAACCAAATGAATATATTAATGAAAATAATATACAAAACCTGATTGTATCAGAGGGGAATTGTTCGCAGAAATGCATATATAGGCCAAATTGTATACAAAAATGAATATACCAGAGAAAGACACACAATAATGCATATGGATTTTTTTGTGTATTTTTGGAAGGGAAAAAAATTCGCTATCTGATGTAGAAACAGGGTGAACTGAACTTAAGGTTGCAAAGATGAGAAACTGGAAGAAACCAAAATGGACAGATTCACCCATCTCAAGTTATTGCACACTCTCTAGCCACCTCTCCCCACACAGGACCAAACAAGCAAAGAGAGAGGGGAGAAGTGAAAAAGAAGACAAGAAAGCAGCCGAGAGCTTTGGAGTTCCTGGTCCTGGGGAAGCAGTGAGGTTCAGCAAATTGTAAGCTGCTTTGGATCTATTTCCATTCATTTGAAGTCTGCACCCAATCCCAACTCTCAGGCAGGTCTGAGCAGTGGAGGAAGCAAAGCTGAGGCAGGCGGCCTTATTGACTGACTGGTTTCTAGAGTGCCTGTATATTAATGAGGCACTGCACAAAAGCCAAAAAAGGAAAACACAGGAGCAGCCTTTGCGGTTACCATCTAGAAAATCACACACAAACACACACACACACACACACACTGGGTGGGGGGAAGGAAGAGGAGGGAGAGCAGTTTGACACTGCCAGGACAAATAGGGTTGTTAAGTGGCATTTACAGCCCACTGGCATAAAAGTGATATTCTCCTTCCTGGCGTTCTCGCTGGGATGCAACAGGAGCAATCATCAGAACGTACTGAGTGCCCATCTGGTCTATCACCCTCTTCTCACTGTGGCAAACCAGATGCCTATGGGAAGCCTGCAAGTACTAGGCCCTGAGTGCAACAGCGCTCTACCCACTTGTCATTCCCAATGACTGGCATTCAGTGACTTTTGCTCCTCTAGCTAGTGGCTAGGCCAAAGTGTCCTTCCTCTCACTTCTGCAGTCACAGGACAACTGACAGTTTAACTGCCATTCCAGCTTTGAGGGGAGAATTAAGATTTACTGCAGATGCTTGTTCTCTGGATGACGGCTGAGGCCAGTAACCAATAACCTCTGCTGGTAGGGGTGCGACCTGCCAGTGGCTCTGGGTCCTCTAGCCTGTGACTGAAGTGACCTTTCCCTTGCTTCCTCAGACACACAGCTATCCCTCTCCCTATTGCTTCTGCCCTAGTTACTTTTAATTGTGGTGCTTGTCACAAGAACATTGGAGGGAGCATGAGCCCTTGATTATGTCCAGATCGATATGCATGCAGCATATTAAAAAACAAAGGGGGATCAATATTCATTTCACTGGTTGCAAGCAATTAAGCCTGGTGGCTGTTTGACAGGAAGAAGTGGACCTTTAAATTAGGACGCCTGTGCCTGCCTGGGAAATGCATGTATGCTGCCTTGGGGGTCCCATGATGGAAGAAAAGTGGGATATAAATGTATGTACTGTACATAAATGGGAAAAATAGTTCCCAGAGGAGAAGTAATTTAAGTTGGTACTGTAAATACATCCTAGATAATCCCAAATTAGAGAAGGCCTGACCTGCATACAAAAGACATACTGGGCCGTATTCAATTAAATTTTACTCAGTGTAGACCCACTGAAAGTAATGGAGGTCCATTACTTTCAGTGGGTCTACAATGAGTAAAACTTAGTCAAGTTCATTAATGTCTATGGGTTTACGCTGAGTAAAACCTAGCTGAATGGCACCCACTGTAATGTCATCACAGAGCAAGGCCTTTGAAACAGAACAGGAAAAGTGTGCACAAAGGGGTCTGGGAAGGGAGCAAGACAACAAGGGTGCTTGGGGAAAATTCACAACGCTCTGAGCCCACCTCCAAACCTGAACTAGCAGACATACCAGCCAATCAAACACTGGCTGAAGCTTCCTGCTTGCCACCACCGCCTCCTCCACTTGCCCGTTCCTCTCCTCTTCTGCACTACTTCTGGCTATGGGATGTGTCCTTGGCTTTCCCCAGGCTAAGTCAATGGAGGACAGGATTGCAGGGTTGGAGCAGGTTGCAGCAGGGAGAGAGCAATGGAGCTAGCAAAGAGTGGCAAGGCTGAATGTCTTCAGCAAGCGTTTGATATGCTGGTATGTCTGACAGCTCATGTTTGAAGACAGGCTCCAAGCTGTCTTTACATCTCACATCTTTAGATATTTTAGCCCCAGTGATGCATGTCCAAGTAGCCTCAATCTGGTGTTTTGAGCTGCAACTGCCCTAGGCTCATTGCTTCAATTCTTTGTGCGACTGCCGTCACTGCGGATGATGTCACTGGCCTTGCTTGGGTCATGCTATTTATTAGTGCTGAGTCAACGTAAAGAAGGTGGGCAATGGGGCAGGAATTTCCCCAAGTCTCTAACTGATTTGGGAGTGTAAGTGTCATTAGATATTTGCAGAAGGATAATCCAGGTCCCTTGATTCCTAGCCTAAGCATTTCTCCCCTCCTCAAGTTGTTCCCATTTCTTAACGTATTATAAACCAGAATACAAACAAATCAGGCAGCCAGATTTTCCCTTCCTTAATGCTGTGGGCTTCTCTGACTGATTTCAGTGGGATTGTTCCCAATGCTCCCCAGATGCAAACAAGAAGCACATGCATATTTATTTCAAATAAAGAATAATAGGAAGAGAGCAGCAATTGGGGGCGGGCACAGGGGGAATAGCTGCCAGTAGAAGGAGTCGTGGATGATGGGTAAGTAAAAGAATGGGGTCTGGAAAGGCCACTTACTCTAGAACATCCCGGTTGAACTGTTTCTTGCTGTTCCCCAGGAACTCCCCGATCATCTGCCGGCTGAGCCCCTTGCGCTGCAACAGGAAATGCGCCACTCCAATCGGTGTGTCTGGTATGAAGCCCCGAGATATAAGGAACTGGATCCCCTTGTCTGGATTTCTGGGAAGTAGAGGGAGTCAAGAGTCAACTTGCTATTCCCTTCAGTACTTAAGAGCACAGCAATCTCAAGCACACTTCTTGTATCATATCAGAGCACAAGAAGAGCCCTGCTGGGTCAGACAAAAAGGCTCATCTAGTTCAGCATCCTCTTCTTGCAGAGACCAACCTGTAGGGAGCCAGCAAGTAGGAACTGAGTGCAACAGGAATCTACTACCCATTTGTGATTCCAAGCAACTGGTATTCAGTAGCGTTGCTGCGTCATACAATGGAGGTAGAACATAAGACATCATAGCTAGCAATTCCACAGCACTTATATAGGCTCCCCGTGTAATTCAGAATCCTGATCGCGCAAGTTTCTAAATGCATGCAGGGGGGAGGTGAGGATGGGTAACAGAGAAGGGACAAGAAGCAGAGGCAAAATTAGCGCATCCCCACTCTACCTTCACACAATTCAAATGGCATGAGGGCTTTAATGCCTGAATAGGGCTATTATGTAACTTAGATTGCAGGCTGTGTGTTGTTGTTTTTTAAAAAAACTGCAAATCACCTTAAAGTTCCTTAGCAGAAAGGTGGAATATATATGCAGTAAGACACACAAATGGCAGTTACATAAGTTCCTTTCTGTGGTGTCAACTTTTATTTTACTTTTTACTTTGCAGATCTAACAAAAGGGAATTTTAAAAAATACAAATATTGCCAGCTGACCCTAATAATATGATTATTCTATCAATCCTCGTTTAAATGCACAGATTAAGATACATAGTCCATATGTCCAAATAAGTATCTAAACAAGATCAATGATTCCCACATAGAAAGAGCAGTGAAATCTTCAAGCCACTGAGTACTAGCTGGTGGGTGTTTGTCTTTCCGGCCTTGCTCACAGAATCCACTTTTGTTGTCTGTTCTTCTGTTAGGCCACATTTGCACCATACATTTAAAGCACTATGATACCATTTTAAATAGCCATGGCTTCCCCCAAAGAATTCTGGGAGCTGTAGTTTGTTAGGGGAGCAGAAATTTGCTAGGAGGTTCCCTATTCCCTACCCAGAGCTACAAGGTCCTGAGTGGTTTAACAATCAATCCCTCTTCAGGGGGCACTCTGGCAACAGTAGCTCTGGGAGGGAAACAGCACTCCTGGAATTATTTGGGAGAAGCCATGAATGTAGAAATTAGCATCATGGTGCTTTAAATGTATGGTGCAAATGTGGCCTTATTCGTGGGCCCACCCCAGATATATAAAGGTGTCAAACTGACAGCCATTTAAAAAAAAAATAGCAGCCATTTTGGGTGCCACAGTCTCTCTTGCTGCACTGTAGATCTGAAAAATCACTTTTTGGGGGGGGGCTGTGATCTCTCATGGCACCCAAAGTGGGCATTTTGGGATGCTGTGTTGTGCTCTCATCACAAAAAAACTCACCCCTATTTGTCAGTGTGAGAGTGAGGCGCAGGTCACGTACCTAGCTTGGAAACGTGTCCCAGAAGATGCACATCCTGAGTCTGAAAAAGTTGGACAGTATGTAAATTTAATCTGTCATCTGACTGATTCTGTTTGAAGTGTTGGGACTCTCTAAAAGGGTTCAACTCTTTCAGTGAGACTCCAGCGCAGAGGCGCCATCTTTTCCAGAGGATTGAGGGGGCTGATGCGACGTTGCTGTTGTGTATTGAGTCAAAGGATTTTATATCTGTATTATTATTGTCTGTATTTGCATTAGGGTAAAGTAACTGCCTTTTGGTTCCAGAGGGTACAGCTACTATTGGTTCATTTAAGCTGCTGTATTTGGATCCTCTGTCTTATTGGTTCCCTCCAAAAGGCAGGACTGTGATTGCGTGATATTGTTCCCTCCAAAATGTATCCTTTCTTGCTAGTTCCCTGTCCCTATAAATGTAGCATTCCTCTCCCCAGTCTTGAGTCTTGTTGCTTAATAAAGAAGTGTTACTAGAGACTGTCTCCAGCATGTTATATCAGGAGAGCTGAAATCACAAACCCCACGTCACAACAGTTGCACAGCGTCCTGACATCACGCATGCGTGTTGTGTGTCAGGACATTGCACATGGGGGCCCTCTGAGCATTGAGTTCATTGTTATTTAAAGCTGAATTTGCTCCTTACGCCATTTACTTAGCATGCAGGTGTAAAATAGCCGCATGGAATAAGTGCTATGTAGGTTACCACATGAGGGACACAGGTGGCGCTGTGGGTTAAACCACAGAGCCTAGGACTTGCTGATCAGAAGGTCAGCGGTTCGAATCCCTGCAACGGGGTGAGCTCCCGTTGCTTGGTCCCTGCTCCTGCCAACCTAGCAGTTCTAAAGCACCTCCAAGTGCAAGTAGATAAATAGGTACCGCTTCGGCAGGAAGGTAAACGGCGTTTCCGTGTGCTGCTCTGGTTCGCCGGAAGCGGCTTAGTCATGCTGGCCACATGACCTGGAAGCTGTACGCCGGCTCCCTCGGCCAATAAAGCGAGATGAGCGCCGCAACCCCAGAGTCGGCCACGACTGGACCTAATGGTCAGGGTTCCCTTTACCTAGGTTACCACACAGTAACATTGCCCTAAAACACTTTCAGTGCTCTACACAATGTGATTTACACCACAGCCTGTGTTGTTTATGGGTTGAGCTGGCAATATTTCCTCCTGTTTTCCTGAGGAGCTAAGCAAGTTTGGCTGGGTGCTGCGGGATTCCTACAGCTCTCCTGGCTTTCCCTTCCACCTACGGAAATGGCCGCCTACACAAACACCGCTATTATAGCAACACTGCATAATGAGGCTTTCTCCATTCCAGGAATTCCACCCACTCGCTCTGGAATGTGTTGCCGCTTGAAGTGCAGAGTCACAAATGCATTCAATCAATTTGCGGGAGGCTGTCACAATTCAGAATATTACTCAATAATTGCTCACGGGGGAGTTGCATGATTGAAGACATGGAGAACAAGGCCATGCAGAAGACCTCTTGGGCCACATAGACCCAATTTTGTATTGGGCAGCAGTTATATAACGCTGTAGGTAAGCCACTGGTGTTATTAAATCCTGTCAGGAAGGTTTATGTAACCAAGCATCCCGGCATTTATTAGTGGTAGCAATAACAGTTGTTGTTCTGCGGGGAGCATTTTCTGTAACTGAAGGCTCATATACACAGCCAAATGGTGAAATGGAACAGCATCAAGGCCATTTGGCAACCAGAAATCATTATTTTTTTATCATCACTGAGGGTGTTGCACAAGAGGTAATTAATTCCATTGGGGGAAAGCAGGGCAAAAAGCAGATTGAGAATGTGGTCCAAAATGAGGTACGTGTGCATATGGAGAGGAGGTGTGGAATAGCACCAGCCCTCAGCACTTACCACAAACTGTTATTTGCTTGAGTGTAGGCCATTTGGATTTTAAAGAGGGCCAATTTTTTGTTTATGTTGTTCTTCAGTTTGAGGCGGAAGGGATGCAGTATTCTGGCTGGCTTCATTCTGGTAACATGGGTGCTAGGCAATGAGCAAATATAATAATCTTGCACCAAGCCCCCAATGGATCAGTGCATCTGGCTGCTAACCAGGCTAGTGGTTCGAGCCCAACCAGGAATGTCTGTGGGCAGGATTCCTGCACTGCAGGGGGTTGGACTAAATGACACTCGAGGTCCCTTCCTACTGTACAATTCTATGATTCTAAGTATGTCCATAGGTGCAGCAAGAATAAGGCTAGAACAGATTGCATATCCAGTAGGAACATAGCAAGTTGCTTTATATTGAGTCATGTAGTTCAGTATTATCTGCATGGACTGGCAACAACTCTGCAGTGTTTCTTCTAGTCCTGCCTACAGATGCCAGCAATTAAGGCCTTCTGCACACATAGTAGACGGTATGCCACTGAGCTGAAACCACAGTACAGCGGTACCTCGGGTTACATATGCTTCAGGTTATAGACGCTTCAAGGTTACAGACTCCACTAACCCAGAAATAGTACCTCGGGTTAAGAACTTTGCTTCAGGATGAGAACAGAAATCATGCAGCAGCAGCGTGGCAGCAGTGGGAGGCCCCATTGGCTAAAGTGGTGCTTCAGGTTAAGAACAGTTTCAGGTTAAGAACGGACCTCCAGTACGAATTAAGTACTTAACCCGAGGTACCACTGTACAGGAGATAGGTAGATAGCTGGGTAGGCTATATAGGTCAGCAACATCTCCACTCCTAGGGCATGTCTGTAGCCACACAGACTAGCTTTCTACCCAGGGCTAGCTGCTTCTCTGGTCTTTCTAACGCCTGTTCTTGGGAACCACTTAGGATTCTGCCACCTCCCTCCTTATTCATTCATGGGGAAGAATAACAGCACCTATCTGCTTGGCCCCAGACTTACCACAGGCTTGGGCTGGACATGGTAAGTCTACAGAAGTCAACTGTGCCCGTGCTCACGCCTGTTCTTCTGCTCTCCTCCACCTCCCTTTCCCTGCCTTAACTCAGCCTCACTTGAAGGAAACAGGAGACAGCAGGGTCTGGTTACAGGTTCCACTGTCCAGGGAGCTGGCATTCTAAGTGGACCAGATGTGGGTGTGTGTGGCCCAAAGCAGGCAGGGGTTGGGTTCCAGTGGCGGCAAAACCAGAGGCTGGTTAAAGGCAGGCAGAGGTCCAGATCAGGAAAAGAGACAGAACTAGGCAATCCTTATGCTAGAGAAGAACTGTTCAAGTGGAGTAGACAGCTCTGAGGCCAGAACACTATAGTGCCTGGCCAGCTGACTGAATGCTAAAGCAAATTAGTAGCGCAGCTTAGGTGGCGCTCTTGACACCCACAGCTTGGGCCAGACATATGTGCAGTATGGAGTTCTTAGAGCCAAGCTGTGATTTCTCAGAAAAGGTTTTTTTCTAATAAAATTTCTGAGTATGTGTTTTGGTTCCCCTCTGAAAAAAGAGAGGACCACATTGCAGAATAGTCTCCAAGTATTCTCCGTCTCCCTTGCCCCCACACAGTGCCCAGGATCAGTGCAAAGTCTGGAGTATTGTGTGGGATGCAAAATGATGGTGAGGTTGCTGACATCATAGCCGCAAAGAGAAGAAGCCGTGCCACTGCCACTGCTGAGAGGTTGCTGTATCGGTTGGAGAAAGCCCCACCTTTGCTTTGAATTTTGCTTTCGGTGAAATGTTTGTGACATACCTAATGCAACTGTGTCCATGCCAATTACCTTCCAGAAATGTCATCAACTCAAGTGGCAATACAGCCTTTCTTCTAACAGTCTTCACAGCAAGCCAAAACACAGAACAAATAAAGTAGTCGGAATGTCCCTTTTGATTGGAAAGGAAGGTGCCCTGCGGTCACTCAAGTAAACAGCAAAGCCAAAAACAACACATTTTCTTTCTGCTGTGCATCTCAGAGCTGCTCCCCATGTAATGATTTCAAGTCAAAGGAAATACTCCAGCAATTCTCTCCCATAAATTTAGAATTACGAGTGGAGGTTCAGAGAGCTGTTTTAGGTACACTAAACAACTTGGGCAGAAAACCGACCTACATAGAGGATAGAAAAATCTGAAGGGCAAAACTAGCAAAATGTTTCTCTGAAATCTGCTGTCAGCATAATTCCAGCTACGCGTGAGTCTAAAGGTGGCTGGTGTAACCTAAGATATGAAATTGGCCTTTTTGGACACAATCAAAGAAACAAAAACAATTATAATAAACAACCCATTATTATCATGGTTAGTGTGTACAAATACTTACAATGGGCACAACCCAGCCAAAGATAAGCACTTTTTTCAGTCAAATTGCTAACCATGAGCTCCATTATCTTTTGTTCTTGAAAAAAGAAGCTTAGGAGCGTTAAACTTTGATCTGATTGCATTCAGAGCTTTGCAAATTTTGGCTGACCTTGGCTGCCAGCCAATATATGACCCATTAACTGAAGCAACCATTGAGGTCCTCCTCCAAACATCCTGCCTTCAGGTGTCAAATGGGTAAATACCAGAGACAAAGCCTTGGGGGTGGCTCCCTGAATCTCCCCCTAAGAAATCCATTTGACACTTGCTTCTCAGTTCGTTTCAAGGCAAGTAAAAACTGTTTCACTCGAAAGAGCTATTCTTCACATAGCAAATGATTCTGAGAGTATGCTGACAACACTAAGGCAGCCCTCCTGCAATTTGATTTACAGCAGCCACAGGGCAAAGGTTATTATTCATATGAAGCCGCCCGAAGTTTGGTAGAATGTGCTTAGTTTTTTTAAAAAAAATATGAGAGCCAGTATGGGTGCAATTGATAGAACATCAGTCCTGGATCCAATTCTCCACTCAGCCATGAAGCACATGGGTTAGCCCAGGGTGAGTCATGGTTTCTAACCCTAAGTATTGTGAGGCTAAAATGGGGTAAAACCCTGTATATGCTGCCTTGAGCTCCCTGGGAGAAGGGTGGGATAAAAATAAAAAAAATGCAAAAAAAATGCATGTATTTCAAGTTCTACATTCATATTCATGTTTGAGTTAATAAAATGAGCAGTCCCAGAGATACGCCATCTGCTATTACCATCCAACAAATGGAATAATAACCAACTGTTAAAGTGCATGGCGAAGCTATAGAAGGGCAAATTACAATATTCCCCCAAGGATTACTGAGGTTCAGAGAATCATGCTGAGAGCCAATAGAAGAGGCCCAAAGTGCCTCTTCAAAAACCGAGTCCAACATGTAATGTTTTTGACCTCCCCTGACTCCAGTTTCCCGGCTGCTGTGCCTGGTTCCCTCCCCCCCCCCCACCCCCAATACCTACAGCTATTTTTCACAGCACAGTTGCCTTAGCTGAGCGAAAGCAGGAGAAAGGGATAGGGGAGAGAAAGATATTAACTTGCTGCTGCCTGGAATATAATTATACCAAGCCCGCCAAAAGAAAAATGGCAGCCAAAATGCTCACGTCAAAAGTGGCAAATCTCTGTGGAGAGGGCATGAAAACTGAGGTAATTTTTAAATTCTTTTTTAAAATCCACAGATGATAACTGGGATGTTTATGTCTCATTCTCACACAGTCCTATTTAGATAGCAGCCAGAGAACTCTCTCAACTGCTGTGGACACTAAGCACTTGGGAGTCCTTTCTTTCCCCCTCTGCGACAGAGCTTCAGTGCAACTGCCTGACCCACAATAAAACAGGGTCTGCATTTCTTAGGTGGCCGAACCCTTAAACATGAAAGCAATGTGACTTGAAGAAGACATTTTTCCCCAACAGCCTTTGTTGTCGCAAATTGAGGAAAGCCACGGGAGATTAAAAGATTTATTATTATTAGCCACTTACATGTTAAAGAGGTTTAGCCCAATGCGGTAGAGCCGTTTCCTCATGGTGTCCGTGGAAAGAGTAGGAGATTTGCAGCTGGCCGGGTTTTCACAGTGATACCGCGGGAGACTCAAAATCATGGCCTGCAGGGCTTCCTTTGAAGACAACTCTGAGGCAGACTTGGCCGAGGTGGAGGTGCTGCTGCTGCTCAGCTGCTCTGAATTGTCCACATTTTCTGCCTCCGAGCCTTTGTTCTGCCCAGCTTCGTGGCTGGAGCCGAACTCCAGCTTCTGCACCATCATTTGTTCTTGGTCTGCTTCCCCTCCCGCCAAGCCGTTGGTGTTGACGTTCCCCTCAGTTGCCGTATGACTATTCTGAAGGATTCCGGAGTCAGGCTGCCCCTCGGAGACAGCTTGAGGCTCTTGGTTCTCTTTCCCAGCTTCCTCTGGGATTTCTTCTATTTTGGCAGCTTGAGAAACCCCCGCCTGGGTGTTGTTGGCAAGGCAGTTTGCCATAGACACCGAGGTAGATGAGGAGACGGAGAAGTTCTTGTTGTCAATCTGGACGGTGACGTCCCGGAAGGCCATCATGAGGGTGCTGCTGCTCTTTGGCAACGTATCTGGCAGCAGCCCTTCCTCCTTCTCTTGATCCTTCAGTTCGGCTTCCAAGTCTTGGTTTGGCTGCATCGCGCTGAATGTCTCCCTTATCTGGTAGGAGCTGCCATCTTGAAGGGAACACATCGTCTTCAGGCTCCATGTGCTGAGGGCGTCATCTATAGACTTGGCCAAAGACTGGACTTGCTCGGTGAATGAGTCCTCCAGCTCAGTCAGGGCCCCGCTTATGGTAGCTGGCAAAGACGGAGACCTCACCAAGGGGATGCCAACAAAGTTATAGCCTTCCACGAGGGCCTTCTCAGCAGAAAAACTTTCAGAGTTCTGGACTCGGACTTTCCTCAGTGAAATCCGCCGGGGCATGCGACTCTCCAGGAGCGAGTTCCGTATCTTCTCAAAGTTTTTGCTGAGCTGGTACTGGCGGAAGGCAGTCTGGATGGTGCAGGCTGCCCTCCGAGAGACCAGGTGGCCTCCATATTTGTGCTCTAGCATTTCGATCTGAAACAGAAAAGCAGTATTTTTAAAAATTGATTTCTGAACCAGTTTCCGCGACTTCAATTTACAAATTGCTCTCTAAGTATGCTCTCGAAAATTCAATACCGCATTTGTGAGTCTCTTTTCCCTGCTGTGTGCACTGAGGGGCTCTGGAAACGATTTACTTGGCTCACAAAGGAATGGTTTCCTTTTCTTGCCGGGCCCATATTCAGTTCTACCTAGGGGGTGGATGAGATGATGCATCTCCCCCAATCTAAGCCATTATGTCAAGGGGGGCCAGGGTCCGTAGCTCCTCCCACACATCTGGGACAGTGGCTTCACCTCTGCTGTCTCAGCATGGGTACGCAGGAGCAGAATGCCCAAATGTTGCTGCATATCAGCGATATTTGGATGTTTCATCCCCAGCTGTACATATGGGGCCAGTAGAAATGGGACTGAAGCCCCTTGTGGGCAGGGCACACTCCCTCCCCCCCCCCCATGTGCTAGGCAGAGTATCATCCAATCTAGCCTTATGTATTTGCATACTCTGGGATTCCAGCTGTGCTGCTTAAAAATATTTATTATATGTATTTCTTAGAACAAACAATCCAAGCATATACACGAAGAATTAGAAACCTCTGGTCCACAGAGCAATCTTGGCCCATTTTAATTTTATATAGTTTAATTACATTTAACCTATTATCATTTCTATATTTTTAACTCTCTGTGTTTTATTTACGTTTGTTTTAATTTTTGTGAGCTGCCTTGAGTCCTGGTTCTGGGTGGAAGGTGGGACATCATCATCATTAAAAATAACTCTTATGCTCCTCAGCAAGATAGGGCCATCTACGGACCAAAAACCTCCCTCCACTTCTAAATATGTTGCTCTTTTGCTTATAATAATCAGCAATGTAAGAACCATAAACAAGGAAGAAAAAGATAGTGGTGATGTGTGTCCTGCAATGGCACCCCAAAAAGAACTGAAGATCTGGTTTAAGAGGTTAGAAATATCACCAGGGATAAATATCAAGAGGAGTGAGAATATACAAACACCCTGGATGGGCTAGTTATTGATGAATGCCCAGAAAAAAACCCCGCTGAATTAGTCAAGGAAACCATGGCCAAACTGGGCATTGTGCTCTGGCACATTCTGAGCCTGAAAGCTCTGCCCGGTTTGTCTGAAGAATTTTTGTACCAATAGTGTCCTTCTTGCTACCTCACTGATAAAAGCTTAACAAGAGGACCACCGGAGTGTGCTTTCAGTCCACACCATATACATCACCCCAGCTTTGGTCCCCATGAATGATCATCAGGTGACAATGGCAGCGGTGGTGCTAATGCAGGTGATGGATGGAAGTGGTGAAGAAAGTTGAAAGGATGGACACTAATTATCCCCGTAGAGATTTACTGAGACCGTGGTTGGCTTCGTTCTTCTTTTGCCTGATAAAGTACTTTGTTCTTCTTCAGAGTTCTGGAGGAAACGGGGGTTTGTAAGATTTCAATTAATAAAATGAATGAATTGGAGAGGGAGGGCCAAGTGATGGAAATCACCTTTGCATTGATAAGCAGACTACCATATGGGAACCCAACTGATCATGCTGCCACAGGAACACCAGCCGCTCTCTGACCTTACTAATGATGCCATTACTTAGAACATCTGAATAAGGTTGAGCATCACACTGCATGATTCTCAAGAAACGTCCACCCCAGTTATTCCTCTCCTGCACAAGTATGTACACAATTCCCTCTACTTCCAATGCTCAGGTTATGAATGCTGTTGCATATGTAGCCAAAATGGCACTACCCTTGCAGGAGAGAGGTATCAACAGGCTTGGAGGAACCCTGAGGTTTTGCAGAAGTGCACATTTTCTTCCATCTTCCCCTGCCTTGTCTATCAGCAATTACTAGAAACAGGGGCAGCAAAGGACGTGTATGTGAAAGCAAGCTTCCACAGGTGCAGCTGATACAAGTATATGTGCACATATTGATGTGGATGTCTGTACATCACTGTGCTTATCTAGGGCCCACTGAACTGGCTGGACTCTTCTGCTGATGCACATGGCCATATGGGAACACAGTCGAGCACAATTAGCTGCACGTGAAGGCAGTCACAATTAGGGCCAGAATTCTGAGTGGCGTAGAGTTGCGCCACTTCCCCCAAATTATTTTTGGATGTCTTAAGGGATGGATTTTGTCAATAAGTCAGAATCAGTTTGGGCTGAAGGTCTTTCTTTGAATAATTAAAGCATCTCTTTTTCCATTTCCCAAGTTTTAAGAGTGATTAGGAGGACTAAACTCTTTCTGCCCACTGGGCACTACTCTAATGAATAAAACATTATTGCAACCCCATTTTATCCAGCATATGAGATGGACAGTAGAAGCAAATGATTTAGGATGAATTCAGATGGCCTGGTTGACATGTTGCCATGTTTACAATGATGCTGGAATGCTGCACAGGTCATATGAACCCTTCAGCACATGTCTGGGTTGCACTCTCTCATGTCCTGATCAAAGTGCAACTTGCTGAGTCACAATGCGGCAACATGTGCTGGAGACTCCACATGGCAGATTCAGCATTTGAATTGGGGGAAATGGTTAAGTGTACTAGCATTGAATTATTTACATTTAAGGCCAAAATCGTGACCAATCATTGTCCACTATAACAGACACATGGTATAAGCGCAGCAGACAATATCCATAAATTAGATTGTATCTTAGGCTTGTTACGCAGAAACTGAGAGACTCGGAGATATCAAATATCTCCAGGTTGCCTGGAGAGCCATGTTTTAGACATTTAAAAGGGGGGGGGGGATTGCCCAGGATATTAACTGATCTTATACCTTTTTGTATTTTTATTTTGTCTTTTTGTATTTTTATTTTGTATTTTTTGTATTTTTGTTTTATTTTATTTTTTTGTATGATAATTGCTGTTGTTTCTGATGTTTCTGATCTGTTTTACATTTGTTTTATGGTTCTCTTTTGTAGGCTGTCTTGAAAATCTAGATTATTTGAATAAAAAGAAGAAAACAGCACCCCATATTAAAGCCTTGGCTCACACTAAGCCCTGAGATTCCCATGAGGAAATAAGCACCTTTAAATAAAGCATATACATTTAAAAAAGAAAGATATATAAAATAATACTTGTGCAGTGAAGTGTCTCTCCTGTGGTCCTATTTGCTGCAAATAGCACTGTTGGAGACAAACAGCAGCACCAGGGTGCAATTTTGCTTAGTAAATAATATGGGACAAAGGGTTAGACTCTCACCACGTACTGCAGTGCTGATGTGGATCTGAACCCCAATAGCAGCTTTTGCTAAGGATGAAAGCCTACTTATAAGCACACTTTTAAGTAATGTGTAGCTTGGAACCCTGAATGTATGGCCTAGTTGTTACAAAGCTGAATAAAGTATACCTTGCTATTAATAAAGCTGAAAATGTCATGGTGGCCACAGTAGTAGGAACCATCAGCTATGTGGTTGACCACTTGAGGTTTCTGATGAATCAACAGCTTCTCTAGGAGTTTGTGTGTAGGAGTGAATAGATGGGAACCACTCAACCTCTCTCATTTGAAATTTTGAGATTTAATTGCTAGCCTGAAATAAAAGGAAAATTGGTCTCCCTTATACTACCCTGCAAAAATAGGCTGTGTTAACATGGTACAGTGACTGTGTGACTAGATTAAATAGGGCAAGTGACCTGCTTGCATCGTATAGCTTTCCAACATATTTTCCCAGCAGAACATACAGTATTTTGTGCAGAGTGCCATGTCTGCCATCTGGGGCAGGAAGGAACTCACTACATGATGGGCTCAAGAGATGAGAAGCTGGCATCATAGGGGTGACAATCCCCATGGTAGGTGTAACATGTAGACCAGCTGCCATCTTGGGCATCACCTTGGACAAAGATGTGTCTGAATGCTCTCTTATGTACAAAAAATTCTAACTGGCTAAAAAATAGCACACCACTGTTGTCATGTGGGTTTGCTTGGGCTAGGAAGAAGAGAGGTCCAGACTTCTATCATTCCCTTACTCGCCTTTCTTTCTGAACGAAAAAAGCCCCAAATGTTGTAACCTTTCCTCACAGGGGAGTTGTGTGTGCGCTTTAAGTACTTAAATTAAAATATGCTAATCTGTGGCTCGATTAACCAGGCAGCTTTTAGTTAGACTTGTCTAACCAATTAATTGATTAAACGTTGTCACGTTAACATTTGGGGGAAGCTGTTTAGAATTCTGTGCCAAAGATCCCCATCACGGACACATGGTTTTCTGGAACTGGAAACTGTGCCAGGCCAAGAAATCCCTGCTGTCTGGAGTGGAGCTCAAATGACACACACGCAATCACAGCTACGGCCAACACTTTAAAAAAGTATTGCTGCACCAATCCCTGTCTATATCTGTCTTCTTGCTTCTCCCTGCTGCGTGGCAAAGCAAACCTTGACTGGAAGCCTTGATTTGGGGGAAAGGGCCATAGGGAAGTACATATGTACATACATACATACATAATTTCATTTGTATGCTGCTTTTCCACAATTCAAACTAGTTTACAATGTGAACTAATGCATAACTACAACATAACAAAAGTGGTCATAAACAGCAAACAAAACATTAAAAAATACGCAACCCAACTGAACTTCCACATAAATCTAAATTAGGTACTAAAAAACAACAGCAGCAACACCCCTCCCTTCAAAAACAGTAACAACCAAACGCCAAACAGCCCAGTCCATTAACATTTCCCTTTAAAACAGAGGAACTGAAACACTCTGAACTTGGGCTGGACTATACAATTCCACCTCCAGCTTCTTGTTCCCTTGATAAGAATTAAATAAATGGCAGGAGCACAAACTTTTCTAAGCAATGCTCCCTTTCCCCAATATTACATGAAGGTGGCATTGAACTGAAGTCACTGAGGCAGGGGGGGGGACATTGTTTTAATAATGGAGGCAGCCCTAGATGGCTTCACTGAATGCCTAAGCCCTTGCTGCAAAAGTAGCAGGAGATTTCTATCTGCCTTGCATGCAGAAAGTCCCAGGTTCAGTCCCCAGCATCTGCAGGCAGGACTGGGAGAGGCTCTTACCTGCAACCCTGAAGACCTGCTACCAGTGTAGGCAGTGCTGAGCTGGATGGACCAAAGGTCTGACTCAGTGTAAAGCAACTTGGATGCTTTCCTGTGTGAGCCATGAGGGTGAAACAGGTTTGAAAGTGGTTTAAGTGCATGACACGGACATGACAGTGATGGAGAACCTGCTTTATAGGCAGAAGGTCCCAGGTTCAAATTCTCAGCACCTCCAGGTAGGCCTGGGGAAGCTTCCTGTCTGGGAACCCTGGAAATCCACTGCCGGTCCGTGGGGACAATGCTGAGCTTGATGGCCCAAAGGTCTGGCTCATCATCATTGGGGATATGCGTGCAGATATTTCTACTTCTGCACCTCAGTGCAAAAAATAAAGACTTGTGGAAACTTGTGCAAAATGAAGTTATGCATAGGACCTAATGCACAAGAGGTTTGGCACCTAGGTTCAGCAGGTATCCGACCTAACCCGTTGTTAAGACCAGGCGATACAATGAGATACCACCTTCTCAGAAACACTGTTAGCTACCAAAAGAAGTTCAAAGTTCTGTTGCTGATATTTATGGCCTTAAACAACTTTGGACCAGCAGACCACCTCCCCGGGTAGGGACCTAACCAAGATCTTCTAAGGGGACCCTGCTGGTTGCCACACACCCAGCAGATTTTCACCTACAGAAGTGGGCCTTCTTGGTGATGGCACCCAGTCTCTGGAATACCCTCCCTTGGGCAATCTGGGAGGCAGGAATGATCTTTTAAGCTCTTAAAAACACATATCCCTACCCAAGCCTTTCTGGACTTTGGCTCTTAATTTTTAACTCTGTTCAGTTTTATCTGTGCTAGTCTCTCCCCCCACCCCAAATAGAGATTTTTATTAAATTAAGTCAGCCTTCACTAACCTGGTAGTGTTGTCCTGATATTTTGGACTAAAACTCCCATCAACCTCAACCAACACTGTGCTTGGTGGGGCTGGTGGAAGTTGTAGTCCAAAACATCTGGAAGGCACCAGGTTGATGAAGGCTGCGTTAATCGGTAAAGTTTTCTAAAAAAATAAATAAAGAATAGAATAGAATAGAATAGAATAGAAAAAATAAAATAAAATAAAATAAAATAAAAGAATGAATGAATAAACTATAGCTGGCTTATTTTTCAATAAGCTAGACTGCAGATGTCATGCACGCTTACCAGAGAGGAAGCTCCACTGAACACAGGGGGACTTATTTCCATGCACATGATTGTGCTGTTAATCTCCATTTTTCAGAGGCTGCCTGCTCACTGGAACAGAGTTCTGCTACTGCTTTAGCTTTCATTCTTGATCGCAGGCTGTAGATTTAATTTGTTCATCTCTAGATTCATTAAATACCAATTGTACTGCATTTCCCAGGATTTTTTTGTGGGTTTGTTTGATTTCACCTATATCCTTTATTTTAAAAAAAAAGTTCTCCGTGCAATATATTTCCAATTATACTTGGTTGCTTCATTTTGCCTTTCTCAAGGGAGGTGGTGGGAACATTTGAACTTCTCCAGTTTTCAAACTTTTTCTGGGGGGTTTAACTAGTAAGAAAATAAAAATTTTCAAAGTTTGTTTTGTTGGACCAAGGTTTGCCAACATAGAAAAAGCTGCAGTCTCTTCTTCTCAAGAAATAAATTCGTGGCTGATTCCTGACATCTAGGTTTCAACTTGGGTCAAGGTGACACCTCCACACCTAAAACGTAAGAAGCATTGCCCAGCACCCTTCTTAAGAAAGCTGCTTCCATTTGAATTCCAAGGGGGAATTTTGGCTTTTTGCGGGTGCTAGATAGTTACTGGTGTCATCAGCTTTGGGTCAAATTTTTGGATGTGAAGGTAGTTTTTTTTACTATTGGTGAGCTTTACACTTCCTTAAATGTTGGTGCATGTTAATTGCTGGTATGTTGTATTGTTCTGTTGTAGCAATAAGTATACTTTTTATTATGCATTGTTATTATTCTAGTACATTTGGACTTCTTTTTTGTATATACATTTGCTGTGAATATAGATGCATTTGTGGAAATTGCAGTTTATAAATAAAATGACTGACTATGAGCAGTTTTATGAAGCAGCTGACGGGCTAGAATGCAAGTTGGTCAGGCGAACAGATGTAGTTGACTGGAAGACTCCTGTACCTTCAATAGTTGTGTGGTTTTTTGGGGGGTGGAGCTTATTGCTTTTGTGTCACAGTGTTGCAAGAGTGAGGAAAAAACTTTGCATGCCAAATTCAGCACAGGGCCAGCCTTGGTATAAGGCAAGTGAGGCAGCTGCCTCAGGTGGTGCATGCAAGCTGGTCTGTGCACGGGGTAAGTGGCCGCCCCAGTCATTCTTCCTGATATACCTGTTGGAGGATGAAGCTGCGAGTGGCACACAGCCTGTCCTATGCCTTCGTGGAGGACACTGACCCATGTCCAATATTCAGGTAAGTTTGACTTGCCAGCCCAGCTGGCTTTTGCACATAGAATGGGAGAGGGTGCCATCTTGTCCTTTGCTTCAGGCAGCACAGTATCTTGAGCTTGCCCTCGTTCTGTCCAGTTAGAATTTTTATCTCTACATCTCTATTTCCATTGCAGTTATCTGCAGAAGGCATAGAAATGCAAATTACAGGGGGTTGGGCTAGATGACCCTCAGGGTCCCTCCCAACTACATGATCCTACAAACCTTTCTGTTCAGCTGAGACTGGCTGGCGGTGAAGGAGATTCCTCTCTTCTCCTCTGAGCCAGTAGGCCAGCCAAGGCTCAAGAAATCATGGAGATGCCATTCCCCACTTAAGCTCAGCCTCCCCTTTGGCTACTCGCCCTTTAGCTACTGTCAGGGGCTCTTACTCACACAGATGGGGCATTATAGCTCCACTCAGCTGGTGACAGGAGGGAATGGGGATGCTAAGATAAGAGGGTGTATCTGATGGCAGCTGCGTAGCCCAGAACAGATAAAATGCAAACAAACCGTCAGTCACTGGAGCAATACGACCGCATGTGCAGTCCCCTCTTTACCCCCTTTGTTAGGAAATTCAACATCTTTCAGGGGAGTGCTTTTAAAAGAAATCTCCTTTCGCACACTTCTCCCAGATATGCAGAAACACACTGTATGTGGGTAATGCTTCTCTGGCTACAAAAGGTGAATGAATGGCCCCATTTTGCTTCCAAACAAGTTGGCAAAGAGCTACTGGTTTTTCTCTTAGACGTATCAATTAGCCAGTCAGGATTTTCTGGCACAACCAGCAAGGCTTCAGGCAACGGGTACAATAAACTAGTACTAGCCAGTAAACTTTGGATTCTGCCATGTTCTATCCTATTCCATCAGATTCTGCTAGGTTCGACCCAAACTTGCCTGGCTCCTCAATATGCTGCTCTGACCCATTGGTTCTACTACTGGTCAGACTCTGTAGGATGTGGAACCGCCACCTCCTGACCAGGATTTCTTAAAAGATTAAAAGCTGGAAATCCCAATTCAGTCTTGCATCTTTGGAACTTTGGCATGACACCAATGCATAACTGGAAAATCATTTTCCCAGTATACAGCTGGATTCACATTGTGGATCCCTTTCTCAGCATTAGCCCTCAGCCATCTCCAACCTGGTGCCCTACAGATATTTTGGACTACAACTCCCATCCCATAATGCTGGCTAGGGCTGATGGGTATTGTAGTTCAAAAACACCTGGAGGGCACCAGGTTGCAGAAGGCTGCAGTACAGGTTTCAGTGTAGAAGTTTAGAAATGTAATGAACTTGGACTTTGGATGGAGAAATGGATGCTCAGAAGGAGCCAAAACATTTATCTGGGTGAACAACAACAGTGACAATGAAGAAGTAAACACAACAATCCTCGGTGCAGCTATTCAGTCCGTAGGGACTTGCTCCCAGCCAGGTAGATGTGTGATAGATGCAGCCAAAAACATGTATAAGCGCACAATGAGATCAGAAGCTAGGCCTGGCACCCAGAAATGCAGTGAAGAACCAGCTCCTGATGCATTTCAGCTGCATCGGTTTCCCTGCATGGAGGTGCAATAACTGGACACGTTTCAGCCCCTTGCATTTTGTCAACCCATCTATGCTGCTGCTAAAGGCACAGGAAGGAGCCTATCCACGTTTTTTTTTTTAAAAAAAGACCAACACGCAAAACATATCTAGGAGCTCATCTGCAGTGCAGTTGTGATATTCTGTTAATTAACTATCAGGTGTCAGGTCTCTGCTAGACCCAGGCACATAACACAGTGATCTAACAAACACCAACCCAGATCTACATGTTTTCTTTTCCCTGGGCTTTGAACCCCCTGTGATAACTGCAGTGTATACAGCAGACCTTGGATGGCTGACTTTAAAAAGTGGGGAGCAGTGATGAATATACATTGCAGTTCTTCTGCTCCAGACACCTTTCACTGTGGGGGACAAAGTAAGGTATGCAAAGCCTCAATCCTTGATCTATCTGTCAGATGAGTAAGAGGACCAGTTTTGAATTGTGGGGTGCAGCTTGTATAGCACTGCTTGGTGAAGGGTCTGTGGGGTGAATGATGTATCCCTGGGTACCGTGAGCCAAAAGTAACAGGCACTGAGAGCTGGTCTATGTGTTGGTTTCGTGACAGAAATCTGCGCCCTTTAGGCAAATTTCTTGTCCTCTGGCTGAACTGTGCAAAATCCTGTATCGGGAACATTGAAGAGCAATGTAGAAAGTCAGCCTATTTTCCAATCTAGCCCTGGACTAGCTCTGGCTAGCAGCAGCTTTCCAGAATCTCAGGCAGAAAGAAAATGGGTGTGGGCATCTTTCACAATGTCTGCTACCTGCTCCTTTTAAATGGAAATGCCAGGGACTGAAGCCAGGGACTCCCTGCATGCAACACGCGTGCTCTGCCTCTGAGTCACGGTCGTTTCCCACATCTGTTATGCCCGTTCCCCCCACAACCCACGTCAATGGCGGTGGTCTGCGGGGCAGTGGTGATGCACATGGAAACTAAGCTAGAGAGTGGATCAATGGCCCCCAGCCCGCCCCGGCCCCGTCTCCCACGGCATGAGGAGAAGCTGGTGTACCTGTTTATTCTTTAAGTCAAGGGAGAGCTCATAATCGGAAGCGGCGGCATGGGAACATGTGGCTGCCCCTTTGCTGCGCTGGCCTCTCACGGGGGAACCCGTATGGTGGAGGCTGGCCTTCTGCACCAAAAGGGAGCACCCCGCAGCCTGATCCGCCTGCTCTTCCTGCAGCTCCGCATGCCGGGCTTTTAACTTCAAGGTGTCGGACCTGCCTTCCTGTCTGCTGGCCTCCTTCGGGTCCTCCGCGTCACACCCGGGTTTCTTGCTGGCTGAACCGCAGGGATCGTCACTGTGAACAAAACGCAACGTTTCTCTTTTGTTTATTTGGTTTTTTTTGTTTTTGTTTTGCTTTTTTGCATCCCCTTTTCATGTTCATTCCCTAGCCTTCAGTAGCTAATCGGCTTTGCAAACAGCCGCAGAGCATCGTCGCTGTGGTTGGGCAGAAGCACGGAAGCTCCTGGGCTCCGGTTAAAAAGCTGGCGCTGAGTAGGCCCTTGCACTACTACGAGGAGCGTGGCAGGGGCAGGGGAAACCATCGCTCTTTCCTCTCCTCCGCTGTGTTACACACCAAGGCCGTTGAGGCAGTATAAAGTGAGGGGAGGCCTACACCATCTGTGGCTCACCAAGCCAACACACACACAATGTATGGTAACCCACTGGGGTCATGACTTCCCCCAATTGCTGCTTCCCTGAGACTGCAAAAAAATGGGAGCCTTGTTGAGCTCCTGAGAGGCCAAAATGCTTAGCAGGTGGCCTACATTGGGTGTGTTCATGAGGCAGACATAGGCCAATCCTTTTCAACCAAGGCATAAAAACAAAAGTGTCTGTATTCAACTTATACGTTACAGGGTATGCCTCAGGTATGTGCAGTGTAACAGCCAAATTGTGAGATGAAAGAGCCCTGACCAAATCCGAGCCATACAACTCTCTGGTGCTGTAAGCACCCTTATATAACATGTGGCCTAAGGGAGAAGGACTTTTATCAGAATGTAATGATAACAGCATGAACGGAATATTTTGTAGGTCTAACTCTCGAAATGTGTGGTGTTGTGTAAGACTTATCTGTGTGTTTTTCGTTTAGGCAGAGTATGAGGTAATGTATTCTTTTTGATGCTTGTTTTATATTTGTACTCATAGCTTTATGCACAAGTTTTTTTAAGTGGTAAGGAGGTAGAAGTGTGGTGAAAGCAGTTTGACAGATCAATAGAAAAAGAAAACCACCACTGTTAAAATTACTGCAGAATTTACTGCCAATCGGGGGAAATAGCCGAATTATGATAAGTTGCTGGTTCCCTATTTGTTCTTTTTATTGCCTGAAGCCCTAGCCTGAGAATGTTTACTCAGAAGTAAGACCCATTGTGTTCAGTGAGACTCCCAGGAAAATGTGTGTTTTCTTTCCCTACAGACCTATGGAGATGAGATCCTGAATTCACATCTAGACTCCTCCCATCCTCAGGCACAAAACAAAAACAGAACAGAAATTATATCACTAACAGTAACACATAGTCAATGATCCAACAGACACTTGCACACACAAAAAGAAATTCAGTGTGCACCGATCTAAGGGCCCACCCTATAATTTTCACCAACACACTGACTTCTGAAACACATCAAAACCAAAACCTTCCTTTTAACTTTACACAGTTTAAGAAGTGGTTAGTGGTTTGGCAAGAGAAGAATAGTTGCTACCATGAAAATGAAAGGGGGCAGAAACTGGTACAAGAATGCATTTTGACGGGCACTCTTTGGAATATCAAACTTTAAAACCTCTTTTGCCTCACAATAGCTGTAAGCCCGAACACTTCCTACTAACTTGCTCCCAACTTCCTGCTGATTTGCAGAGCATGCTCCAAACTTTGCCCACATTTTCAGTGAATCCATAATACAATTTTTTGTGACATTACAATAATTTCCATGGCAACACACTGTGATGTCATGAAGACAAGAATATTAATGCATTGCAGGATTATGCAAGGACAGCTCTCCCAGGGAGGGAAAGAAAAAGAAAGCTTTTACTAATTCTCATTTCCATAGCAGCAAGATGAAGATGGAGCTGAAACAAGCAAAGGAGCTTTAGCACTAGGGGGAAAATACATGCAACAACCCACATTACACTGGCTTTGCTAAGAATCAACATCCCCTCAGAGACACATTGCACCGTTCCCTGGCCCTTACGCAGATAACCAGGAGAAGAGGAAGAAAGGAATATTGTGGGTGCAGAAAGGGATGATCAAGGCATGGGAACAACTCCCCTACAAGGAAAGGTTACACTGTTTGGGTTGGGGTTTTTTAATTTAGAAAAACAAGAGAGTAAGGGAAATAAAATAGCAATCATAGTTTATAAAATTATGCATAGACAGAGGGGAGTTTTTCTTCCTCTCTCATGAACACTTGAAGGTCAGGTCATCTAATGAAACTGAATGTTGGAAGGTTCAGGACAGATAAAAGAAAGTACTTCTACAGTGCATAGTTAAATATAGAATTCACCTCCACAGGGCATGGTGATGGCTTTAGAATGAGATTAGACAAATTCATGGACCATATGGCTACTAGTCATTATAGCTATATGCTGCCTCCAGTATCAAAGACAGCTTGCAGCTCACACTAGGGATCAGTTGCTAGGGTTCATGAGTGGGAGAGTTCCACTGTCCCTTTATGGGCTTCCTGTAGGCATCTGGTTGATTAGTGTGCGAGACAGGATCCAGGACTCAACGCTAGCATTTGGTCTGATCCAGCAGAGGCCTTTTTATGTTATTATGTGCCTTTAATAGTTACATGGGAAAGTGAATTTTGGCAGATGAATCTTGTCATTTGGAGACTTAAAAGAAGTTGTGCCTGTTGGAATTCCTTCTTTAATACAGCCAATGGCATATCAGACGGCCCTGTGCCCCTTTGGATCTGGTCACCCTATGCCAGGCCAGCACAACCTCTGAAGGGATACCAGATCTTTAGGCCTTCACCCTCTGAGGTTCCTCCTGAGGCAGAAGGGGCAGCAGGCCCCTGAACTAGTCCGGTACTCCAGCACGTTGAATTGCTTCTAAAAGTGCAGGTGTGCTAGGCTAGCTGTCTTGCGGCCTGCCTGTGGTAACTATTGCACATGTAACTTGTGAATGAAGAACCAAGCAGTTCTATAAATAAGCAGTGCACAGAAGCAGTGCATTGTTCTGATCACATTGCTGCCAACTTGCTTGATGGAGAAGCTGGTAGAGAATGGGGAAGAACTTTTAAAATGGTCCCTGCGTGTTGCATAATGTCCTTCCTTTCCCCTTCTTTTTCTTTCTGATCTTTTATTTTTAGATTAAGATTGTATTCAAAAATGAATACAGGAGAATTTATAAAAAATAAAAACCACCTCACTCGTTATTCAGAACAATGGATGTAAGACAACAATTTCCATTCCAATCTGTGTTCATCCATTTCACTGCTGTTTATATATGAAGCCACTGGGAGAGATCAGGGGGTTTGGGCTGGGTGTTCATCAGTATGCGGATGATACAGATTGAGGCTGAATTCTGACAAGACAGAAGTACTGTTCTGGGGAAACAAGGGGCAGATATGGAGAACTCCCTGGTCCTGAATGGGGTAACTGTGCCCCTGAAGGACCATGTGTGCAACCTGGGAGTCATTTTGGACTCATAACTGTCCATGGAGGTGCAAGTCAATTCTATGTCCAGGGCAGCTGTCTACCAGCTCCATCTGGTATGCAGGTTGAGACCCTACCTGCCCGCGGACTGTCTCGCCAGAGTGGTGCATGCTCTAGTTATCTCCTGCTTGGACTACTGCAATGCGCTCTACATGGGGCTACCTTTGAAGGTGACCCGGAAACTACAACTAATCCAGAATGCGGCAGCTAGACTCGTGACTGGGAGTGGCCGCCGAGACCACATAACACCGGTCCTGAAAGACATACATTGGCTCCCAGTACCTTTCTGAGCACAATTCACAAATGACGGTCCTGCAAGGTACCTTCGGATTGAAAAGCAGGTTACAAATATAATAATAATTGATTATAAGTTCGACGATGTGCTTGACAATCTCTCTATTTTTGCAGTTTCAAAAAGCCAGCAGAAACAGAATGTTTATTGTACCACCATACATGGCTGCTTACATGGGTTTGGCTGCCCAAGTTGTACAGAAGCATCAAAACAACTTCAAGCTCCCACTATGTCTTAAGCTTCCTGGCCTAGCCATTACAGAGGGAGCGAGAAGATGGGGGAGGGGGGCAAACCCTGTAACAACACAGAAAGGGAAACCTATTCCACAAGTTGTGGATCCCCAGAAACCCTTCCCACCCTTCCTGTTCTCTCCCATGAGCTCAAAGCCAAATAGAAATGTTAGTCTGGCCTCTTGCACCTTCAACACTTGGACAACATTCAGAGTTTCAGCAGGTGGTGCTTTTTCCTGACACGGAGGGATGTTGAAGAAGGCAGATTCACTTGTTCATCTTCTGCTTGTCCTCCAGCTTTGAAAGTCAATGGTACCCTACCAGAAAAACTTGGCAAATGTATCTGAATTGTGTTTTTTAGAGAAGATGCAGGAAGTTCTGCAGAAAACTAAGCTCCTTAAGCAGCCTCTGTCCTGAGAACAGAAGATGGTATCTGAAGGAGGGGGAAAACCTTTCCTGTTAGCTCCCTAGGAGAATCAGAGTTCCAACCCCCCAGTTTCTTTTCTGACAAAGTCAAAGAGAAAGTAGAGAGGTGGCACCATAGGAGTCTAGCTCTCTTTTGAGTAGAGTCTGGAGTGCACTAACAGATTTCAGTAAATTGTAAGTTTAGCTATGACCCAATTCTCCAGTGCATCACCTGTTTAATCTTCAAACCACAGAGATTTCCATTGTACTCCAGTTTTATAAATAAAAAATCCGCCTCCCAACCTGTCACTGCCACTTATACAGCCCTTGTTGTTGTTTAGTCATTTAGTTGTGTCCGACTCTTCATGACCCCATGGACCAGAGCACGCCAGGCACTCCTGTCTTCCACTGCCTCCCGCAGTTTGGTCAAACTCGTGTTGGTAGCTTCGAGAACACTGTCCAACCATCTCGTCCTCTGTCGTCCCCTTCTCCTTGTGCCCTCCATCTTTCCCAACATCAGGGTCTTTTCCAAGGAGTCTTCTCTTCTCATGAAATATTGGAGCCCTACTGCTACCTATTTGGGGGCTTCTATTTATTGATATAGTACAGACATGGGGTTGCTTTTTTCAGCCAGAAGGTCACATTTCCTCTTGGCTACCCCTATGGCAGGACACTTGCCAGCAGCGGATGTGGTCAGAACAAGACTGAGCAAAGTGGGCATGGACAACCCACATTCTCTCCCCACCAGCACCACCATACACACATGCATCAGCACACACACATATACTGCTTTTCAGAATTTAATCTAGACCATATTCTAGAGCAGGCTGTTGAACCTTGCTGCAAATCTTGCTCCTACAGCTAAAAATTCCTTGTTTCACTCCAGGATCTGAAATAAAATGGTGCCCCTTGCAAGCCTCTTCAGCTCTGTTGGGCTATAGTGGCTGTTGGTAGGAAAGAGTTCAAAACAGACAGAAGCAGACTCAAATGTATATGTTCTCTCATTAGGAGGACCTAGGTTCTGTCTTTGAGGCATATGAAAGTGTGCAATTTCCCATGCTAAGCAACCCCAGTTTGCTGTGCCCTTTAACAAACAGCAAGCCTCTCCCATTCCAATTTCCAAACTGTTTGTGCATGTCCGGCAAGGGATTTTACAAGGGTCACAACTCGGTCAGAGCGAAACCAAACAGTGCCGCAACACTGCGAGGCATTTTGCAGTGTGAGTTATTTCCGTGCTAAATTTAAAATTCCTAATCCCCTACTGTTTCAAGCTGCCTGTATGGTCAGAGAATGGTTGCAAAGCGTATTTTTAGAACAGGAATTGTAAGGAGAGTTTCCCTTGCCTTTGTGGGTTGTATAAAGGAAAGGATGTCAGACCCGTTTTTATTCAGAATTTTCTAAAAGCCGCACATGCAAAACAGAAAACCAAAAAAAGAAAAAACCCCAACCCTTTCTTATCCTCAGGCAAGACACAAATTCATGACATGTCAGCTTAGTACATAAAAGGGGCCAGAGCTCGGTAGCTCGGTGTATGCTTTGCATGCAGAAGATCCCAAGCCACAGAGTGAATCTGTTTGGCGTTTTCCTTAAGGGCTGTGCACTCATTCGCCCTCAACATGCACACTGTATGTACTGAGAAAGCGCAGCACACCTCCTAGCCCCAACCCTGGCATCCGTGTGCTATCTGGCCCTGCCCTCCAATAGCCGGGAGGGCAGCCTACAGCTCTACATTATTTTTCTATGAAGAAAAATTCTAGAAAAAATGGTGCTGGAACTCAACATGAACTCTTGTTCTCTTATAATGGCAATGGCGCCCACCTGAGAGGTGATGGAGCCAGGGGTGCCAACTTGAATAATATAATAATATAATATAATATAATATAATATAATATAATATAATATAATATAATATAATATAATAATATAATATAATATAATATAATATAATATAATATAATATAATAATATAATACAATACAGTGGTACCTCAGGTTACATACGCTTCAAGATACATACGCTTTAGGTTACAGACTCTGCTAACCCAGAAATAGTGCTTCAGGTTAAGAACTTTGCTTCAGGATAAGAACAGAAATCGTGCTCCGGCGGCTAAAGTGGTGCTTCAGGTTAAGAACAGTTTCAGGTTAAGAACAGACCTCCGGA